TCGCTGCTTGGCGCAGGGATCCAGGAGCCTTGCTCCTCCCGTCCGTCTGCAACAACGTCGTAACCACAGAAGCGGTCTGAGGCGGCCGTGGGGGAGACCACCGCCACTCCGGTGGCGGCGGTGGCCAGTGCTGCATCCGTCCGTAAAGCAGCACGGTCCTGCTGTCCCAACCTCATCGCCGGCGCCGAATTCCCATCTGCCCTTATCGCCGTCACCGTGCGTATTGTGCAGCCAACCGACCCCCCAGCCAACGCCGCTCGCCCAGAGCCGGAAGAAGCCGGCCAGGTATCCAACGCCGCCTTGCAATGTGGTACGGCGGTTGCACCGGATGGGCCTCCGTCCGCCTCTGCGGCTGACGCGGATACCACGGGCACGGCTGATCCCGCATGGCAGGAACTGTCTGACGGAGTCAAACCCGACTCCATGTCCTCCATCATGGACGTATCGTGGCCATCTAAGGTGACCGTGGTGGTGATTGTAGAGCAGTGCAGCGTTGCAATCTCATCAGGCCGGTGCTGTGCCGTCGTCGTAGCGATGTCATCAGGGTCGCGTGATTCCAGATGCCGCAGTACTTCTTCCACATCCAGGGACGTAACCTGAGGCTTGGAGCTGTCGAGTTCGCTGCCGCAGCGGCGTGATGCTGACCTGCCGTTGGGGTTGCGCGGCGACGGGTCGGCGGCGATGGGCGATATCGGACCGTTTCCAAAGCCGCAGCCGCCTGCAATCATCGCGCAGCAGAGCCCCAGCCGGTCCAACGTCCAGCCAGTGCACGAAGGCGCCTTGCGGGGCAGCGCCGCCGCCGCCGAAGCTGCGCCATGCGCAGCGGCAACCGCCGGGGCAGTAATGCAAGGGGCTGCATTAGCCGGTGGAGCGCCAACGCGTGTCGGAGCGCAGGCGCTTGCGGTCCAAGGCACTTCCTCAACCGCTGCCGCTGGGCTCGCAGTCGCCGTAGCTGCGGCAAAGGGTTGGGGCGCTACTCGACCCGGCAAAGCCGCCAAAGCCGCCGTTGCTATCCGCTGCCCGCTGCCCGACCGCGGCGCTGCAATAGCTACAGTAACTGATGACGCGGCCGATGAGTTTGAGGAATTAGCTGTAGCTGCAACTGCGGCAGCTAGCGCTAATGGGCCCCGCAGGCATGGCGTTGGTCGGCCGTACCCTTCCCAACCCTGCAGGCGCAACTGCTGCTCCAAGGGCGCGGCACTAGTTGCGCTGCGGCTACTCGCGGTCCCCCACTCCTCAAACCCCTGCACGTCCAAGTCCGTGGCCTCCCCCTCCAGCTCCGCCGCCTCCGCCTCCTCACGCTGCATCCGGTACAACCGCATCGCTTCCTGACGCACTTGTGCCAGCGCCATCGCGCGCCATGGGTGCACGTTCATCCGAAAGCTAAAGCCCGAGCCACTGTCACCATACGGCCGGGTCCGCTGATGCTCCTGCTCCTGCTGCTCTGGCTCTTGCGCGGGCTTGAGACCTCTGTACAGGTGGATTGTCCCAAGGGTGCTCTGCGAAGGCTGCGCTGGAGAGTCTGACGGCTGGAGGCTGGAAGCTGCAACCCCAGGTTGCCCAGGATCCGCGCACCACAACCCGCCAAGCATGCGTGCAGCCGGGGTACTCTTTGCGGTCTTCCCAGTCTCCGGCCGTAGATGGCATGCACTCCCGCCCTCGGCCTGGCAACGCACCTCGTCTTGCTCGTGCTGGCCCTGCCCTACGCCGTGCCCTGCAACCGCAAGTGAAATGACTGCCGCAGGCGAGGATGCAGGTGCAGGTGCGGGCGCGCCGGCTGGTGTATACATATGGCTGCACTGAAACTCTGGCCTTAGCGTGGGCTGGCCATCATCAAGGAAACCCAGCCGGGAGCCGGCCACGCCGCCAAGCGTCCTTGCGATCAGTTCCGAGGGCAGTACCTGTCGCTGCGTCTGCTTCGGCGTCTGCTGTGGCTGTAATTGGGATTCCATGGGCCGTTGCTCTTCTCGGGACGCCCTGAGCGTGTAAGCCGCGGCCCTTCGGTCCAAACTCTCAGCTGCAGAAACTACAGTGGCACTGTTCAGGGCACTGCGTTCGGGCCTCAGCTCTAGGTTCGCTACTGAACGCTCGGCTTCCAGAGCTTCCTCCACCGGGTCTGGCCCCGCCGTCGCCGTTGCGGCGGAGGCAAGCAGGGCCGTCGACGCGGTCCCAGAACCGATTCTGGGCCCGTTGCCTCGCATCTGTGCCAGATCGCCGCTCCAGCCGATGGCGTCTGGGAGAGGGCTGTCAGCCGCAGAGCAGATGCACAGGCCCCCGTCCAAAACCGCGCCTTCGATTCCCGGCGGCGGTGAGTTGAGGCCGCGGCTAGGCAAGCCCTTGGAATGGCCCGTCTGGATGGCAAAGACCGCTAAGGATAGGGGTTCGCTGTGTTGCGGTGTTGTGGCTGTTGAGGAGGAGTGCCAGAGCGGCGCCTTAGTGGATGACAGCGGTTGATAGGGAGGAAGGGGCAATGGAAGGCGGGAAAGATCCAACGCTGCAGGCATGCTCTGCGGCCCCTGTGTCGCCGCGTTGCCGACAGACATGGCGCCAGCATCGCTGCCGTCGCCGTCGCCACCGGTGGTGGTTCCTTTACCTGATGAGCAGCTGGACTGCATCTCCGAGCCTGCTAGGCCAGATGGCAACGCCGCGACGCAGGGTGCCGAGTGGAGCGCGCTCGCACCAGTCTGCTGTGGCCAGGATGACAATGGCGGGGCAGAGACCTGTAACTGCCGCTGCGCGGCCCAAGCCTTACCACCACCGGCTGCTTCGCCGGCACTGTTGACATTGGCCGTCCCCCCCCGGACTGAGGGGGCGCCGATGGAGCTACGGGCATGGCGCAAGACGACAGGCCGAGGGGATACGGATGGCGCAGCTGGTGCAGCCGCCAGCCCCGATGAGAGGTAGCCACGGCTGTCGCCTGCGCCGTAGCCTTGGCCGTGGGCATAGCCATTTCGTCCCATGCCCGATGGCATTACGGGAGCAGGCCCGGTGCGTGTTAAGGCAGCAACGCCACCACCGCCGGGCCCGGCACCTGTGTAACGGCCGTTGCCTCCAAGCAGCATTGCCTCCAGGCTGTCCGCGAAGGACCGCACTGTGTCGCTGCTGCCGTCGTTCTCCGTCTCGTCAAGGCCGCTGCCGCCGGGCACGCTGCGCAGCCCGGCTGCAATGCGCATGCTGTCGCGTGCGTGAGCGGAGCGGCTGGCCTGCAGCCGCCGCGCCTGCGCGGCGGTGGTGGCAAGGTGGCTGCTGCATTGGCTGAGGAAGGCCGTGCGCAGTGCGGACATGCTCGAATGGGGGCCCCGTGCACCGCCTGTGCCGCTGTTGCTGCCACAGTCGCGTGTACCGTCATCCGCAGCCCTAGGGTTAGCGGTGGTGGCAGCCGATGCAGCCGTGCTGTCTATCGTTCGGCGCCGCTCTCCAAGACACGAACCGCCCTGCTGCTGCTGTCGTTGCTGCTGTTGCTGTTGCTGCTGCTGTTGCTGCTGTTGTTCTTGCTGCTGCTGCTGTTGTCGTTGCTGGCGTGGGAAACGCTGCGGATCGTCATTCTGGTGCCGCTGCTGCTGATCGATATGCGGGTGCGGATGCTGTTGCTGCGGTCCTATCATTGCGTGCGCGCAGCTGGAAACGAAGGCACTACTGCGTTGGCTCGTAGAACGGGAGCTTACGGTGGTAGAGGGTTGGCGCGACAAGCTGGTGTAGCTGCGCATCCAGGACGTTTGCCGTTCCGGCAGCGCGCCCAGTCCATCGCCGTAGCTGCTAGCCCCGCCGCCGATGTCTAGCTGCCAGTCGCCAACGCTGCCAACGTGCACGGGAAAGTGCACACAGGCCCTAGGTCCTGCGGCGGGGCCGGGACCCGCAGCAGCACCTGCCATCATGGCGTGTACGCGGTACATATCCGTGCCAGGCGCCGGCAGATCCTGGTCCGCGCCACCCCCGGGCAGGGCCTTGCAAACCTCCGACGATAGGAGACGAGGCCAGGGCGATTGGCGCATTATCAGATGCGGCTGTACGTGAGCTTCCTGACTGGGGACAACTTGGTACGGTGGTTGTGGTTGCTGTTGTTGTTGTTGCGGTGACGGCGGCAATAAAGGACGTTGTTGCTGGTGTTGGTCATGGTAGTGGTGGGAATGGGCGGGGTGGTGATGGGACGTTTGGTACTGTGATTGCAGGTGCTGCACACCGGCCAGACAAGCGGCACTGGAAAGGAGCCGTGCCGTGGGCGCCGTCGCCGCCGAGGGCAATGCGCCGACGGTGGTAGGCGAGGCGGCGCTTGTCGCTTGTGTCAAGCTAGAAACTGACGGGGGGCTGCCGCGGCAACCGGTCTCAGTGCCGCAGATAGACATTGAGGGATCGATGCAAGGGGAGTTGGGGACGCTGCTGCGTGCGAAGAGCTTACTGATCATTTGCGGGGCCTTGCCGCCGTGAAGCTCGAAGCCGAAATTGGACGATGTTATCTGTTCGGACATGCGGTATGGCGGCACCTGAGATTGCGACCGTGCGCGGCTAGGGTCGTAGACCTGGGACACGTGTCCAGTAAGCATGTCTGATGCATGAGACGCAAGTGGCATGTGCTGCCACTTGGGCTCCCCAATCCCGCAGCGCCCGCCGGTGGCCGTGGTGGTAGTGGTTGACGCCACGGTGGCGACACTGTGCTGCTCGCTCTGCGACAGCTCCATGTACGACCCGCTGGTGCTGTCGCCAGCGCCGCCGATGGTGGTCCCCGCCGCCGAGGCCGCCAGCGCCGCCAGCCCTGCTTCGTCCAACAGCAACCGAATGTCGGCGGCTGGCAGCGGCAGCGACCAAGGTGACTGCAACGATGATGACGACAGCTGGGGTGCGAACGAGTCCTCGCCGGCTGATGCCCCCCTTGCCTGGGCCAGGAAATCCTCCCCGGTGCTTCCGCTGCGTTCCGGCAGCTGGGAGTCTTGCTGCGTCAGGCCGCCCAGAGTGCGCCGCGACGTCAGCGGCTGCGGTGCCGCCAGCGGACCCAGGTGCACCCTGAAGAACGCGTGCGTGCGCAGCTGCTCCAAAGTGGGCCGGGCCGCGGGGTCCACCACCAGCAGCCGCGACACCAGGTCGCGTGCTTCGGGTCCCAGTGCCACCTCGTCCGGGCCTGGCCAACGATAGCGGCCCTGCAGGATACGTCCGTAGGTTGTTTGCGGTATGCCGTCCTCGGCGGCGACGCTTTCGCGCCCTGCCGCTGAGAACGGCGGCCTGCCGACCAGCAGCGTGAAGAGCACCACGCCCAGCGCCCAGATGTCCACTTCCAGCCCGTAACCGTGCTGGCCCGGTCGCAGCACCTCCGGCGCCATCCAGTTAAGTGAGCCACAGGTGGAGCGGCGGCGGCAGGAGGGCGTGGGCAGGTGACAGGCCAGGCCCAGGTCGCCTACCTTGACGGTGCCGTCGCGGGCCAGGAACATATTCGACAATTTAAGGTCGCGGTGCGCCACGCGGCAGCCGTGGAGGTGATCCAATGCGGAAGTGACCTGAGGGTGTTCGGTGGGTGCATGAGTTCAGCGGCGGTCCTCCCCGTCTGTGCCCAAGGCCAAAGTCTGATAAGGCAGCGGTCGTTTCTCCGTGCCCCATTCTGCACCTGGGGGCAAAGTGACGGTATCGCAGTGTTTGGCCAATCCATCGAATACGAACCCGGACCCGGATCCGCGTAAGGTTTGCCTGTAAGCGTCATGAAGTGCCGCGATCTATGTGCCCCTTGCCGAAGAGGCACCCACATCGCGCACGCAATCGCACCTGCCATAAAATGTGTGCCGCCTGCAACTCGCTCATCCTCCCGACGTGCTTCAGCAACTCGCTTAGCGTAATGCCTACACGCCGTGCACGATGTGTGAGGGCACCCGCGTGCAGGGAAGACGGTTTCATTAGACGAAATATCTTTGGTAATGCCAGCATTTCTCAGGACGCCCTACTAGTGTAATTGAACACAAGTGCAAGGCGCTATACAAACTTCTTGCTTTGAACCCAAGACGGCAGCTGAACAGTGTTTTGAGCTCAGAGGAATGCCGTGCAGCAGAATCCCGGGCACACGCCAAGAGCAGGGGAAAGGACAGGATAGAGAAGGCACCCAGCCCGACCAGCCCGACACCTCACACGGCCGGCAATAGCACTATCGCCACCACCACCCCACCGGCACAAGGTCCCACGCAGGGGCACCTCAGCCCTTACATAGGGGACTCTCCGTCTATCCCGCAGGCAACCCTAACACCCCTTCCCTCCGGGACCCCTTTGTGGTCTCACAGCACAGCTCCTGCAGCAGGTACACATTATGTTCGTCCTGGAAGGAGCCCAGGAATGTGACCACATGCGGGTGGTGCAGCAGCTGGTTGATGTCGATTTCGTTCTGGACCCGCCGCAGCTTGTTTGCATCTGCCAGGGAGCTCAAAGGCAGAACCTGGGGCCGTACCGACATAATAACCGATGGCCGACAGCCCACGGGGCGCGGGGAGTGGGGAAGGTAAGGTAAGAGGAAGGCACAGGCTCCATGGCATTGGCTAGGGGAGGGCTGCGGACATGGCGCAGATTGGCGGGTGCGGTCGTCTGGCGATATGGTACAAAGGTTGGACGCCCAATACAGGCCAACAACAATCCGCTGAATTCCTTGTGTAGTGCATAGGAGCAACATGGGTAATGTCGGACAGGGCGTGCAATAGACCGCCCGAATCCCTCCATCCGTGCCCACGGCCAGCACTGCTGGGCAGTGAGGGCTCACCTTTGCAGCCATCCTGCATCCGTCCGAGATACGCTCAACTTCGTATACGGCCGCAAAGCCTCCATAACCGAGAAGCCTACAGTGACGCAAGTGAAATTGACCAGCGTGGTGCAAGGATGCCATGGTCGGTGGAGTTGGGTACGGTTGTGGCATATTGAGATTCCAGGAGACACCAAAGCCGGGCCGTTCGAGCACCAGTTTGCGTAATACAGAACAATTGGATATGGGGATAAAGGATATGCGGACCTAGCCGGGTCATAGTCATGCTTTGCCACGTCGCCACCCGGGGAGAAGATAGGCAAGCATACAGTCTTGCCTGTGCTTGGCGAAAGACTCCTGTTCGCCATCGTCTGCGTAATGAATAACTGGGGGGCAAGCCTGCGGCAGCGGCGCAAAAGGCTTGCTTTCATGCGGCCCAGAGCTATTCCTGGCGATAAAGTCCGTGAAGTAGTAGCCTGGAGACTTACAATAACAGGCCGCCTCCTATGCATGGCGTACTGCTGGCTCCGGACGTTGAAACTGAAGAATGCCTAATCCCTTAACATCCCGAGTCCGAGGTAGAGGGCGTGCCTACCCATGGCAGGCAGCCCAAGCATGCAACCCTTTTATTTTCCACTCTTGTGGCTGAGAACAACACGCTTCAGGTTAGGCCAACTACAAATTATTTACAAGGTAACGGTTTCATGTTTTTACTCCTTCCCGGGTACCTTCAGGCACATGCATATGAGCGCAAGCTCTTAACCTAAAGTTCGCTGCATGACACCGGGAACTTTCAGTCCCAATCGTGCTGCCGTACTAAGTCTTGAACCTGCCCCTTACCCTTCTTCTCCCATTTCCCCAGTAAGTTGACACTTTCACTCTGATTAGTAGAGCTCGCAGCCATGGTGCACGACCTAGACCCGCTCGCGGTAGCGCGAGACCTGTTTCCGGACATGCCGCCAGGCTTTCCTTTTGAGAACTTTGAACTTGAGGAGCTGATCTTGCCAAGTGGTGACGATATGGGGATAAGGAGCGATGACGATGACATAAAGGAAGAGGATATCCAGACTCAGTCAGGCTTTGGATCTTGCCTTGGTGAGGGCGGCGGCTAATCAGGCGCAAGGCTAGGCCTGCCTTCTACAGCACGCTTATATACTTTCATGGGTTGCAGTGATTCAAAACTTGCCCAAGGCGCCGGAGGAGAAATATGAGAAGCTTATGACCGTTGTTCGGACCATCGCGAGCAACATGGGGGACGTGCGCGAGAGTAAGTGGATTCGTGACGAAATTAAAAAACTATCACGAGTGTCTTTGTGTGCTTTCCCGATGAGGGGGTGGGCTTTTCAGCTGTTAAGGGCGGCGCAGCGGGATTTTCGGCGCGCTTACTGAAGCTTTTGCGCCTTACCATCACAGATGGCATTTACATGCCACTTGACGACGCAACGAAGTTAACGAAGGGTTTTGCGTTTGTGGAGCTAACCCGCAAGGAGGTAGGAGTCGGGCGCACTGGTTGGCAGGTTTGCCCCGTTCGACTCGACTTGGCGTAAGGGACCCCCCCCAGCGCCTATTAACTTCGTGTGTACATCGGCATAGGACGTGGATGCGGCGCTTCTGAATGAGCGCTTTGCAAATGGCTATCAGCTGGACAAGAACCACAAGCTGAGCTTCTGCCGCTTTGATGACTTCGACAAGTACGCGAAAGTGCCGTACGAGTACGTACCACTTGAGCAAGTCCCATACAAACAACCGGTGCGATAATTGGGCAAGGGATTTGCTCAGTGCGCTTGCACAGCCTGGTACGTTACGTTCCTTCCGGAGACGACCACCCCTATGCTTAAACCACCCATCGCCGGTCAGCGGACATCAACCGCACGTGACGGAACGCAGAGTGGGCCCCGGAAGTGGCCGTTGATCCAATGGCGGTCAGTTAATGTGGCAGCTTGACTCGTCCTATGGCATGGCAGTAAATGGTTTACCAGGCCCGTGCTATAATATTGCCAAAAGCAGCAGCATGCATGGATAGTAGCAGCAGGCAGCGGCGACGACGGTGGTGGCCAGCCATTTCTGCAGTGCCGTCCAGCATACTCTAGCAGCGCTGGCATGGTCTCAATGCGGGAGGGGGTCGTTATGCCAGGCCTCGGACCGGTTCCAGCCCCTCAATCTATAACAAATTCATGTTATTGCTTTGGAATACCATGGTAAAAGAAGTTGCTTGCCGAGTCAGGAGTGGACGACTCAGACTGGCAGTCGATGTATCCTACATTGCTTCAGGACAGCTTTTCACATCACATGATAGCTTCTGGCAGCTCATCTCCTTTGGCGTGAGCTAAGCTCCGGGCCTTTCGCAGCTCCGAGCACCGCTTTCCATTGACATTTTCTCTTAAGAAGTCAATTCTGGGGTATAAGCTACCTCCTGAACCGTATCCCGGGTGCTGTTGTTCCCTGGGCTGCGCACATCCACGGCGGCCTTGCGGCTGCTGACTAGCAAGCTGTGGTGGGGATTAGGGGATGGATTGTGGCGGCGCGTCGAATGTTGGGTGGTTGTGCTAAGATTGGATTGCATGTGCCCCCTTGCGGGCGGATGAGGCGGGAAGCAGGGATACGGGGCAGTCATGCAATTAGCCGCCTGGCGGCGTCTGCAAAGTTGTACTGTCTGTCGTATCGCCCCGGACAGGGTGGGTACTGCCTTGCATTGCACAGACCCCGCTGAATGGAGTAAAGCACACGCTGCAGCAACAATAACACTGCTGCAACAGCAACACAGCTGCAGCAGGTGCAGTCGACACGCTGAATCTATTGCCACAGCATGTTCGAATTGCTATGAGGCAAGAAAATGAACTGTCCTTTTTTGCATCGGAATGATGTCCGTGTCGTAATGGGTGTATTGGCGCGTCCTTGGTATCGTTTTGTGGTCTGCGTGACTTGGTCACGGTCAGCATTTCGGGCAGTCATCCAGATGCTCTGTACGCGATGTGGTTCAGCTCCTGTTCCTGGCGTCCTGTGAATCATATGGCATGCCAGGAAAAGCAAGCTAAGCTAGCACCGTCGCGTTCGCATTTTCCTGCTCGCCTCACGGGCCGCTTTCGCACCCCCCTCAGGAGAACTTGCACAGCTGGCTGGCCGACAAGCTGGGCCGTGATCAGTACGTCCTGCGGTTTGGCGACAACACGGTGGTGTGCTTCAACGACGGAAAGCGCAGCCGCGCTGAGGTGGCCTTCCAGCGCGAGTACTGGACGGAGTCGTTTGTACAGTGGTCTCCGCAAGGCACCATGCTTTCGACGATGCACAGACAGGGCATGGCAGTATGGGGTGGGCCGTCCTTCGCCCGCCTGAACCGCTTTGCTCACCCCAACGTGCGGCTCATTGACTTCTCACCCAATGAGAAGTACATTTTGTCGTACACCAGCCACGAGCCGGTCACCGCTCGGGACTCGTACACCATCCTCATCAACATCTGGGATGTGCGATCGGGCAAGCTGCTGCGCAAATTTGAGGGCCCCGTGGACGAGTACGCTGTGGGATCATCTGCAGGGCCCAACGGCGCACTGAAATGGCCGGTCTTCAAGTGGGCCGGTGGCCGGGATGATCTATACTATGCCCGCCTGGGCCGTGGCAGGATCTCAATCTTCGAGTGCCCCCACATGGGCCTCCTGGGCAAGGAGTCGCTCAAGCTGGATGGCGTGCAGGTGCGGCAGAGGGGCCACATCGCCCTAAGGTTGGATGCTGCGCTGGGTTGAGATGGGGCGCCTATGGGCCACTTGGCTATCCCTGGTTGTGCGCTTGCACGGGACACGGCCTGGGCGGAAATCAGCTCGGCTGGCGTGCGCGTGAAAACTTCAGATGGCCATAGGATATAGCGCACAGTGACTATGTTTGCAGTTGGGGAATGAATCGACATGTAGGAGGAAGTGGCGTCATGACGGATTTTTTTGTTTGGTCCAGTCCTCAGTTGCGCTCGGAACGACAACTACAGGGCTGGAGGGTAACAGACAACTCAGCTTACCGTTTGTTTTTTCGTATGTACATGGGTTGCACTAGTTCTGTTCTCTGACTTGGAAAATTGCCTGCAGCCTGCTTAACTTTCTGACTAGGTAATGCTGTTGACACAAAGTTACATCATCTTCGTCATAAGCGCGGTTGTACTGTGTTGGATAATGTGGTGATGCAGGATTTCGAGTGGAGCCCCTCGGAGCCGCTGCTGGCCGCATATAGCGCAGAGCAGGGCAACCAACCAGCGCGCATCGTTCTGATTAAGCTTCCCGAGCGTACAGAGATTCGGCAGAAGAACATGCTCAACGTCAGCGGTGAGTAGAGAGCACTACTCGGAGCGCTTCACTGGGGAGCACTCGATTGAGACAAGCTTGATGGGCCTCTGATGGAATTAAGTGTTTAAGAAGGGGGCTAGTTAGGATGCTAGTGTCGGTGTGCCGTCCTGCGGTTTCCTGGGCCCCCAAAGCCCGGTCTGTTCACATGACCCGTGCCGCCAGGGCCTGCTGCATGGCAGCGCAGCTCATGACAGCTGTTCACGGTGGAGCTTTGGTACCCAGTTTCGCTCCAGTCAACTGCTCGGAAACTTGGCCGGCGGTCCGTTGCAACCTGTCGGCCAGCTCATACTTCTGCTGTTGAGCCCGTGCCTCGCAATGGATAGCAGCCGGCAGTTCTTCAGGATGCCTCTCACCTGTTTTCCACCCCTCGGGCTGTGTTCCTTTCGCTTTCCGCAGACGTGAAGCTGTACTGGCACCCACAGGGCACGTACCTGGCCGTCAAGGTTGAGGCCTGGACCAAGACGAAGAAGTCGACGACGACGAGTTTCCAAATCTTTTGCGTCAAAGACAAAGACGTACCCCTCGAGGTGCGTTGCCATGCCTTCCGCCCTCCACGCGGTGGTAATGCCCTTTGTAAATGTTGGTGGGAGCGCTGGTGAACGGTGGTTTGGGCTATAGCGGGCTCCCGGTGAAGAGCGCGTATCGTCATGTAAGGGAAGCTCCACATGGAATACAACCATGTGTCATGTTTACGCCCTAGTAACACCATGCCACAGTATTGAGCGGCGCGATACAAGAAGTAGGCCCACGCGCATGGCCCGCTCCGTTCTGTCTTTAACGGGAATTTACTCCTGACGGTCAACCCGCCTTCCCCATGTTTTATCCCAAGGTATTTGAGCTCAAGAACAACAAGGAACGTGTGCTCAACTTTGCGTGGGAGCCCAAGGGCCACCGGTTCGCCGTAGTGCATGGAGACGGGCCCCGCCCCTCCATTTCGTTCTTCACGATGCGTGACGAGAAGAGCCGCCTAGGCGTGCGCGAGCTGAGTGAGTGTGGCCGGGGAACAGCGCGTTATCGGATGGAAACCGGGGTTACGCCGAGCGGATGGGGCATGGCATGCGACGGCCAGCGGTTTGTGCCTGCTCAGGGTTCCGCGTCAGTCCCAGCGTCCCACCTTGTCGTATGGTTGCCAATTATTAGGATTAATGAAATATGCGCCATGCATGTTATCGGTCAGTCTTTTCCCCAGAGCCGTGCTTCTGCAGCCCTTGCTTGCATGCGCAATCTGGGTATTGATTTGTAGCGACGCTGTATAACCGAAATCCTGTTGGATTTCCTCTCCCCCCAATCCCCGGTTAGAGTTGCTGGACAACCGCGCCTGCAACGCCATCAGCTGGTCGCCGCAGGGGCGCAACATCGTGTTGGCGGGGCTGAAGAATTTCAACGGGCAGTTGGAGTTCTTCAATGTAGACGAGATGGAGACCATGGCCACGGCGGAGCACTTCATGGCCACGGATGTAGAGTGGGACCCCACCGGCCGCTACGTGGCGACAATAGTGTCGCATGTGCAGCAGATGGAGAATGGCGTCAATGTCTGGTCCTTTGCCGGCCGGCTGCTGTACAGGTGCGTGCGGTGGCTGAAGCGCCTGCATAACTTGTGCGCTGTTTGGCAATGCTTGGGTTGTGAGGTGCCGTGCAGACGTCTTACTCTATTCCAGGTCTCGGCACTTAGGCGGGCAGGGCGCACTCTTTGCCCGAGGTTTTCCCTTGGCGACCCATTATGTATTGTGCTCTCTTAATCCAATCTTTTTGGACTCCCTACAGCACGCAACGCGACAAGCTGTACCAATTCAGCTGGCGACCGCGCATGCCTAGCCTGCTGCCTCCGGAGAAGGAGGCGGAGATTGCCAAAAACCTCAAACAGTACTCGAAGCGGTACGACGAGGAGGACGAGCAGCTGATCATGCAGGTGCGTTCAACGCTGCATAGTGGTTCATGTTCGCGCCAGTCTAACCATTCGTGTATCTTTAACCTAGGTGCTTTGCAGTATTGATGTCCCAGTAGGGCACCTCTCTGAAAGCCTAGGTCGCGTGGCGTTGCTTTGCTTTTAATGCTTTCCTGGTTTGTTGCGCATCGTCGCGTCCATTTGGGGTGGCGTATCAAGCTCCCGCTGTGACTGTAATGGATCGTTGAATTGCTCTTTTTTTATAATTTTGCGTGGTAAGATCCATAATCCCTTGTTTTTTTATTATCAATAAGTGAATTGGCAATAATCATCCGGAAGGTGTCACGTGACCGTGACTTGCCACTTGACGAACCAAGACCACCCGCCTCTGCGCCCTCCGCACTACTCTTCCTCCCCTTCTTCAAGGCCGACGCCGACGTGCTACACGAGCGTCAACGTGCGCTGGACGATTGGAAGGTGTACGTTGAGAGCCGCCGCGACTACGCGGCACTCCAGCTGGACTTCAAGCGGGAGCTGTACCGACATCGCTTTGCGGAGAAGGAGTTCCGCATCGAAAAGGTTTTGGTGGAGCAAGTCGTTGACGTGAAGGAGGAGCCCTACAACACCAAGTAATCAGACGGCTGCGGTGCAGCAGCTTTTCCAACAACCAACAGGATGCTTTTGACTGTAGTGCTGAGGCCAAAATTGGGGTTGGATAAGCGAAAGCCGCGTGAGAGGGTACGAGCGTTTAGACTGTGCCCAGGGTGGTGGCTCGATGGCGGCACAGGCTGGTGTGTCGTGGCTGCGGGGCGTCGGCGGCGGCACTCGGGTTCAGGGACTTCGATGTCGCATGGTTGAAGCGATGTTGAACCCGCCACATGAGCCGAAAGGCGTAAGCGCCGTAGACGTATGCCGGCCACGTCCACGCTTTGGCGTGTGCGCGACTGTTTTAGCTAAATGGGTCGCTGGTCGAATGAATGGTGGAGGAGTGGGTACTGACCGGGGAGACGCAGGTGCACAGCATACGGGGCAGTGGCGTTCATTGCAACTCGTCGTTTTTACGCTATGTACGGCATGTTTGTCTCTTATCATTGGCGTTGGCGATCAGACGCTGAGTGCTCAGTTAGTACGGTGGTGAACCGTGTCTCGGTGAGATTGACGCGGGATAGGAGGGATGGGACCGGTACGCCGTGGGAAATGATGATAGGACACAACAGGCTTTCCTGCAGGGTGTTGGGGGTGCGAATACTAGTGAAGCAGCTGCGTCCTTTCAGACAGAATGTAGTCATTTGTTTCCAAGGCGTTGACGTGGACGAGCACGTTACAGGCGGACTTCTAGCGGGTAGATTGGTTAGCCACATGATATGCGTGTTGTGCGCAAACGCAGGTGCACAAACTACGTTCAGGGCCTCCAGCTCAAGTGAACTGGTGTTTTTTGACATTATTGCAGGACGTTGTAAAAATTCCAACTTTGGTATTTTTTGTCTGAACCCTTTCTTCCAGAAGCATTCCAACCTTGTGGCTGCATTTCACAAACATCCAGAGCGCACTCTGCAGTTGAATATTTGATCAGGAAAAATGCTTGGTTTCCGTCGAGCTGCGTCGGGCAGCTTCACTCGCAGTGCCCCGGGTCGGCCATTGCCGATGCGCGGTCTACCACTACTGAAGACACGTGCATCTGGGGAGGATGTGCCACCAGTCACACGTCTCACAGCAGAGGATGCGTGTAAACTTTTGGATGTGAGCACCAATGCAAGCTTTGAGGAGATTCTCCAGGCGAAAAATCGGAAGCTTGCAGCTGCTGATGGAGACATGGATCAGGTAATTCAGAAAGACAAAAAAATTCCGTTGCTGGGTTCCGCGGGGTTGGGCAGGGCGGCTTTGCTGTTTGAGCTCGGATGTTTGCTAACTTGCGCTCGGATGAAGCTGCATGGTGACGAGTTGAGGTATTGTGACAGTATTAGTGAGAAAGTTTTTAATCCCAAAGAGTACTCCTGACGTTTCTTGCAAGGCATAGGAGACAAGGGAGACACAGGATTCTCCCGGACAAAAAACAGGCGGGTTAGCTTCACCCTTGGGACCCCTCTTGCTGTCCCCTCGCTTACATGTAATCCCTCTTTGGAACCGGATTCCAAAAACCCTCCATTTCCTTTCCAGGTTGTGGAAATCGAGAGCGCATATGGTACGGCACCATGGGGGGAACACTTGGATCTAGCAGCGAAGGGCACCATGCCTGTTAAGTAAGGGAACTTGTCCAATGTGCTTCCAGAGCTCCCCACGAATGCAGCTGAGGGTTTGGACGGCGAACCTGAGCCAAAGGCAATATGAACGCAGTGACGCGTGTTACACGCGTGGCATGTACGTCTTGCGTCCCTAGTGTTCGCGGACCCGGGTATTAGCAGTCACGCAGCTGCGGCATACCCTGCCAGGTGCTCCGTCACCCCGGCTGGAAGGCTCCACGCCCAACGCCGTCCGCACCTGCGCCTGCATGCAGACATCCTCTTCATGCGTAGCATGAAACGACGCATCACCGGGGAGCTGGAGGTATCCACCAGTGTGCGCTATGCCGACGTGCCGTCGACACCAAAGCGCGGCGCCGCCGCAAAAGCAACGGTACGCCTGCCGGCCGGCGTTCCTCGGGCAACCAAACCCGTTATCACCCTGCCTCCCCGTGTGTCGGTGTGTGTGGTTCAGGTCCCTCTTTCCTGGGCCGGGCCCTCCACTATATGCTCTGTGGTCCCTCCCTTATAAACCGCTAGCATCCTGGCTGCTTAAACGTGTGAATTGATTTTTCTTTATGTCCATCTAGTTGCCTGCTTTCTTTCCCACCACATTCCACTCCTTGACGCATACGGGTGGCGCTTTTACCGCGATCCGTCTTCGAAGATCCGTCTTCGTTTTTCGGTTTCCGTTTTACTTTTGTGCTGGATTCGTCCTTATTACTTCATATTATTGCGACTTCAGTGCATCAGCTATGTCCATTCGGTTTCCTGTGCGCAAGGAACTGTAGGGGACCATGTTGCGCCACCGTCGGGCACCGTCCTTACCATCTCTTGATTGTGCCAAGCGACTAAAAACCGCCGCCTCCTTGACTCTCCCTTGGGCGCTTTCTGCGCGCGTGTAGAAGCAAGTTGGCGGCATGAGCGGGGCCGCCCCCAAGGTATCCCCACTCAAGCTCCCGGCGGGGGGGCTGCCCGTGGGAATCTCTATGCCCGCCAATCGGCAGGTGGCGCTGGTGCAGAGCGGCGTCTTTACCGCACTCGGACTGTGGGCCCTAGCGCAGGTAGGTGCACCTGTCGCGGGCGGGGAACACTGCGGTCACTGCAGTGCAGTCCCTCGCATTCTTTTCTTCTCGGTCCTGACACGCCACTTCGCGCCTGCTGATACCGCCCTCTTCCCCGGCGCTCCGACTCGGCTCTAAAACACGGCTTTGGACAGGCGCTTCTGGAGTCTCCCGACGCACAGCTGGCTGACACGGCGGGGCTGCAGATGGCGCTGGCGCTGGGTTACTCCGTGTATAGCCTTCGGGAGAACAAGCGGATGGAGCTCGGTGAGTGCCGGTGACCCACCCGCTTCCGCTGATAGGGGACGGGATGTCTGGTGTATAGCTTGACCATTGGGAGGTTCATCCCGGGGCTCATGGCGGGAGTACAAGTTTTGGTTGCGGGCCGGTCGGGATGCAAGACGCGGCATGGTGTGATTGGAAACAACCCGCTTCATCATGTACGTACGGGCTTCGTGCAATCCTTAGCCGATTGGCATTTAGTATTTATGGCTCACGGTCTTATATATCCCGCTTTGGAGTTATACTTGCGGACCATGCCGCATTTGGGATGGAGTATTGACGAGGACTAGGGGATTTTGCTTCTCGGTGGGAGGACACAGGGCATGAGCGGAGGTACGGCACAGGGAGCGCCGTTCCGCTGTACCTTTCCAAGGATTAAGCGAGCGCATTTACTATGCTCAAGAGACGACTGTCCATGGCCGTCCCACGCCACTGATTGTAACGGGCAGGGGCCGCTTGCAGCTCCATATGTTTTCTTCGCGACCACCATCTTGGCTTGGACCGTTGTAGGCTGGTCCACGCGGCGCTGTAACACTTTTTGCCATACCCCTTTCCCTTGTGATGGTCGTCTCACCAGGTAAGGCGGCCGCCTTGACTTTCGGCTGCCTGTTCGCCGGAGCGATAATTGGGACGGGCATCGAGAGCTGGCTACGAGTGGACATCGTCCCCATTGGAGTAAGGATCGGTGGGCTGAGACGCAGGGGAGGTATAGGATGAGAGGTCATCCTCTATCACCCCTGAAACCGAGGCGTGAGCACGGCCAAGATCCGCGAGAGCAGCTGCGGCGTTTGTTGGCTTCGTAGTAATTACCATTAACATGTTGCCACCTCCGTGATGGAACCACAAAGCCAAAGGTGCTGCCCTAGCTGCGCTCACTTACACGTCTTGCCAATGGTTTCGCCCACCGTGCATTCACACTCGATGGGCCATGACTATGGCTTGTAATGGAGGTAGAAAAACGTTTTCATCGTTTCTTTTGTCCCTCCCTGGGCCCGTCCCGCAGAACTTTGGATCCCCGGGTGTCTTCGTGTCGGAGGTGAGCTTGCTTTTCACAGGAGTTCACAGTCGCACCGTCCGGATTGGCAACACTTATGCTGGTTAGGCCCCCCAATTTTGAAGCTAGGTTGCCCTTAGCACGTCTTAGGGTGTTTTTGCACACCTCCGCTTCCTTTTTCGCGTTGCAGCTTGCAGTGGATCATCTTACGTAACACTTGCCGCATTTCCTCCTCCCTAATAGCATGCGCGTTGCTGAGTACATGTCAATGCCCTCACCTCGGCGTGTCCGTTTATTGGCTGTGGGAGGCATTCCCTAACGCAGTACAGTCATTGCCGGGAGCTTCCTCAGATTTATCTTGTGCTGTGTATGTTCTCATCTGCTTCGCTCAAGCCTTCGTTTCCCTATCCCCTGCATCCGTGCATCCCGACCACACCACCGCTTTGTCTTTGCATCCCTATGCGATTCGCGTTGCTTGCGCCGCCCTGTGTTACTAGATTAACCTGGGAAGTGCGATGTTCTCTGGCACTTTCCTTTTACCTGATCGGTGCGCCTGGCTGCCCGTTTTCGCGGCACGTGATTCTCTTCTCGACAGGTGGTCATAGTCCTTGTGGCAATGGGCTGCATCTTCCTTGTGTGAGGGAACGGTGCCCACTGCGGATTAGCCGCCACACGGGAGCTGGTTAGACCGTAAGGCAGCCAGGTGGGAATTATGAGAGCTTATATTTCCAATGTGTGAAACATCGGCTGCAGGATGTGGGGGGGAGTGGGGTTGTAAGTTGTTATCTTATGCAGCGGGGGTGCTGAGCGAGTCGCCATGGGCTCGGCAGCAACAGTAGGGACTCACGGCCTTCTTTTCCTTTATCTGTGGTGCTAATCGTTCGAGTGTGAAGTACAGGATCAAGAGCATGCAGGAGTGCGTGTGCGGACATTGAAATATGTATCATGCTATTATCTTAGGTTTTGATGCAAGGTGACGATCGTCAGCACTATCTGGCAGAACGCTGCGTGTGTAAACGCTTTGCTCGTTTGATTTGCGATGGACTTCATGAAGTTTTAGGTGCGGATCGATTTTTCAGAGGGAGGACGACGCGGCTGGAGCGGGGGTTAAGCAACCTACGTTCATGATCGCCACCTGCTTTGCAATCTAAGTCGTGGCGGCGAGTGTTTTAATTATGGATGGGACGCCCTGCTGTTTCGGACGAAGCTGTTTTGGGCTGGGCTGTTTCTTTCCTTCGTTAGGCTTCGTAATACAGCACAATGATAAGGACCAGTGCGCGAGGTTTGACACAAGATACCTGATTTAATGTGCGCTATATATAATGCATGGTTTGCTGGCAGTTGAGATGCAGAACTCTGCTTGGGCGTAGTGCTCTCAGGGGAACACAATATCGTTCCGTATGGATTTAGACGGAGCAAGACAGTAACTCGTACGACAGCTCGCCTGAGCTATAGGAGAATCGGTAAGGGAGCACTATGTATCCATCCTCTGCACATCCATGCGTCGGGCGGTCACACAATTCCTGCAATATAAAATTACAAACGGCATACGTATCTCTTGACGACGGCTTGTCTCGATGGACTGCCGAATGAAAGTGAGCCGCTCACCACACATTACTTCAAGATTGAGCTTCATTCGAGGCGCGTAACCCGAACATGAGGCTTGGGTTTCCAATAGAGACTCGACCGAGACTGGCCTGTCCGTTGCAACGCACGAATAATTGGTAGTACAGTTAAGCCCTAACCCACTCAACAGCAAAATTAGAGGGCAGTCGGCCGAGTTTGCCAAGGTGACGGGCTGTGCGCCGCCCGCAAAAGTCGCATAAGAAACAGGTTTCAACACGTCAAATCCAAACACCAGATCGAGACATAAAACCGCATACACAAGTAAGAAAAGTGTACTTCCTTAGCCTATGCCAGGTCCAATGAGCCATTCCCCGACCCGGGATGTTTCCTTTATGAAGGAGCAGACACCCATGGCCATAGCAAAAGCGACGTGTCCATGCCCGCATTTCCACAAGCCAAGCGACTAGAAGCCTTATGGCGCCGCTATCGACGTACACGCCATGTAGCTACCGCTAGCCGCAATTTAGATGAAGGAATGAGGGCGCACTTCTTCAAGCAACACGCGGGTTCAGGTAAGCGGGACAGGCAACCCTACACACAACAGACAGCACCTGTACATGCTGCACAACAAACTGCTCGTTATGCCACACCACCCTTGTGCATGTTCCCCCAGTATTAGTGCGTTGAATCGCCCACGGGATCTCCCGGTCGCAGGTGCCCCCACTCGGAACAAAGTAACCTACAAATGTGTCTTAGACACGCCTCACGGAGACACAGCACGTGCACGCAGCTCCGCCCACCCTCCCCAGCCCTATGCAGACACTTGCCCATGCCACAGCCTCGTGCATCCGGTCGTAACAAGTCGCTCCGGGCAACAACTAAAAACCAAACGAATGCTGCATAGGTGACCCAGCTATCGCCAGGATGGTGCACAAGCACCATTCTGGAAAGGTGAAGTGCAGCGCAGCGCTGCACCCCATTTACTAGTAATATTTACGCCACCCTTCGGTCATGAAACCGTTCCGCTAGTGTAAGCCGGTCCAAGGTTACATAGGCCGCTGCTGCTGAGCTGCCATTTGCTGCCGCAGCATGGCCGCGTAGGCCGCGCGGCGTTGCTCCTCCTGCCGATTTGTCTGTCGCCGGCGAAGCTCCTTGAGCTCCCTGCACGAGTGCACAAAGCACAGAATAATACATATTTCATTCTTCCCGTCATGCTTAAATGGCCCCAAAATCTTTTCACTGTGAGCCGTGAATGTGCCAGGCTGAGCTGGAATACAAGAGCTGATCGACACTTTGACAAGAGCATCCCAAGGCAAAGCAGAAACAGTAGGTAAGACCCCTCCTTACTTGCAGCGTGGCACCGGACAGTCCGCCCGTGTACAGCTCTTAGCGTGAAGGTTAAGCAGACACCACATCTTCTTGCACAGCTGGCAGCCGCCCGTAACCTTGGCCTGGCATTGTACCGCGTGCTGGAATAGCTGTTTAACCTTGCGGCAGCTGTTGCTTCCACACGCGGGGTTGTGGCAGCTGCAAGCATGGACGAGCAGCGCCAGCGTCTTTTGCAACTGCTCGTTCCGCTCGCGCCGCTCCGCCTCCGTAAGCCGCTGTCGGGTCTCGTCTAGCGCGCGCTTGTGCGGCTGCATGGGTGGGAAGGTATATCGCGCATCAGTTTCAACCGTATGGTGTTCGAGGACGATGCAGGACGCATAATGCACGTGGACAAAACGCCATTGGAGAACTTGTCACAGGCATGCCAGACGACCACTGGACCGACAGGGCACGGCAGTAATTTTACAGACGCTATCCAAGTCCGTATGAATGGGTTGCCAATAGGAAACGATACCCACCACGACCGGGTGCGCATGGCCAACGTTGAACTTGCAACTGGCGCACATATCGAAGTCCGAGCAGACGGTGCAGCGGAAGCCCATGCCGGGCTCAATCTCGGCATTGCAGACATTGCAGCTGCTCGCAAACGCCGGCGAGTGCGGGTTGTGCAAATGGTACAGCACCATCATGCTGCTGTGCTTGGCACGCCGCAACGTGTCGAACTGGTAGTGATTGCCTTGGCACAGTGAGAGGAAGGACTGCGTGGAGGATAGGGGCAAATGCGCACGAAGGTGATGCATTACGGCTTAGGGGAAGAAGTTAATATGGCGGACGCTATACGACCGGTTCTGCTCTAATCTTCCACGCATCACTCCAGGCTTTCCACAAACACGCGTCTCGTCAACTCCGAGAGACATACCTGAGGTACAGGTAATTAAAACAAACGGGTACAGGTAAAGACGCGCCAAAGACCCTCACCCTTTCATAGCAGATGTTTACAACCGCAAATTGCTTACGGAGCACTACTGTGTTGGGTCCAGTGTCGCGCCGCGCACCCTTACGAACCTGTCTCGTCTCAAAAAACTCGCTCTCGATGTCCCCGTCCGGATCGCGGTCCCAGATGTGCATTTCCTCCAGCTTCTCCACAAGCAAGTCGTGCGGCTGCACGCCCGCCGGTAGCCGGAGTTGCTGCGCCGTCAGCACCCGGTTTTCCTCGTCACGGAAGCAAGCCTCGCAGATGGTCAACGAGGAGACGGTCCCGGACGGCACGGATGGGCCACCACCCTCCAGCTTGATGCCCTCAAACTTGCGCTCTGCAGCAGCCTTTGGTGGCGTCGCACCGGGCGGTACACGGTACCTGCCGGATCGCAGTGCAACGGCAGCCACCACCGATCCGCAATTTAGGAATGGGTATCAGAACGTTGCTTGCCAGATGACTCCTATTAGGAAAGGATGTCACGGTGACGACTCGGACTGGATGTCCGGACGCTGGAGCGTGCACGAGTGCCTACATGGCCCCGCACTCTGAACCTGGATTTAATCCACGCCCTATATGTTAGCGTGCCTGTAGTGTCGCGTAAAACTGCAAGGCAAGACCGGGCCCGACAACCCGAGCCACAACGGACAGCACGACCCACCGGTAAACAACGTTGGGCCCCCGGATGTGCGTCCGGCAAAAGGTGCAGGGCTGCTGCATGTGAACGACGATGAAGTCCTCCCGCATATTGCCCCCAAGGATCTCCCCCAGTCGAGACATTAGCTGCTCGTCCGTAGTCGCCGGGCCGCCGCCATAGCGTTTGCCCTTGGACCCCGCCTTGCGGCTGGGCACCACGGCGCCGGTGGAGCTTGTCGCGCCCTTCTTGGGCCCCTTTCCGCCCCGCTGGTGGTCCGCGATGGTTGCGAGCTGATTCTCCGCCTCACCTGCAGGCCACCAAGTGGGACCCATGACCGCAGCCAGGACATCTAGCGCATCTGCCCCAAGTGCCAACCACATAGCATGTTGAACATGGGGCTAGCAAAACCTACTAGTTTCTTCCGCAAAACCGTAAGACCGTTAGTTTCGTCGTTGAGGTCTACGCCGAAATCTGTAAGTTTTCTGAGTATTTGCCGAGAGCGTACTCGGTTGAATGTCGTTGGTGCGTACGGCTGGACCGTACAGGGCTAGAGTAAGTCGCAGGAGTGCGACGGAAAGAGTAGTTTCGCGAGTTCATAGTCTCCGTACTGATAAGTTTCCGCTGCAGCTTCTGCCTAATCTACAGGCTTCAGAAGCAGAGTCGCTCGGTACCCAGGCTCGCCCCCTCCCACGGAAGCAAGCACAACTTTCCTGCCTGCAGGTACCCCTCCGTCTGTACGACCCCTAAGCGGTAAGGCAACTACTCAAGAAAACTCTTGGAAATAGCATTGCACTCGTCTCCTTGAACTCAACCCCGTTCACGAAAAGCAAAGCCCAGCCAACAAGTGATTGCAAATTGATGAGCGTACAAAAGTACGCAGGAGAGCGCGGAGTTTGTGGATTAGCATCTCGATATGATATGCAAAAACGATGAAGCAACATCTCTTTGCCCCTTACCTGGCCAGTAGTCCCCTTCCATGTAAGGAATATAAGTGGCGCTGCACTTTTCCATGCGGTGGTCTCGCCCGCCCTCGAAGTATGTGTCCCAGAGTGTTGAAAGGTGCACCACGATGCCCTCCTCGCGCGCCTGCTTCAGCATGTCGATGTACCACATGCGCAGCCGGTCCGAACGGGGCGTCTTTTGCTTGCTTGGGTGGCAGTACAGGATGTAGTCGTCGCCCTGCATGGTCGCCATCAGTACGCAAAAGTTCAGGACAAGGAAAATTCGTTATGCCATGTACGCAGACCGACACCACGCCGTGCCGCTTGATTGCATAGCGACGTCACTCGCACAATAGGAGGACACCTATGTAGGAGTTACCAGCATCGCCCCGGTCACCGTCGGGCCATCGGTGCAGCTCTATCAAGCATAAATAGGGGCAAGCAAGCCGACAGCGGTTTTGCACAGGCACGCACCTGCATCGGCGGGCACGCCCAGATGTACATCTGTTCGAAGCCCATGTTGCGGGTAAACTCGATGTATCCGATGAGCAGCTGGTGGTAGACGAAGGTGCGCAGCGACACGTTGGACCCGAGAGCGCAAGGGATTTCGGGACGGAAGTACTTGACGGAATCCAGGTACGATAAATACACCACGTTCGTGTTCGGTGCTGGACAGTCTCTACCGTACTCCTGCACGTACATGCAGAAGAGGCAGACGTCCACCCCGTCTAGGCTCTGAAAGAGCAACAAGACCTTCTGGCGATACTCGAACTCGGAGACATAGCCGTCCGGGGCAAAGGTCTCGTGGAACTTGGGTTTCACCTCGCACTTCTTTTTCACGCTGTTGATCATGCGCACCGTCAGCGGCTCGGGCGCTGGAACCTCGTGCGGCGCCTTCCCCTGAAGGCAGAAGTGGGAAGCTCAAGCCGTTAACACCGACACTTCCAGCGAGTGCCAAAGCCGACTAGACCACTGATGCGGTGGCCACCACTCGTCAACTGCAACAGGCGCGGCTCGTACGCAACAGCAGGATACTGGGCGACTTCAATTAACGCCTTAGACGCAACCTACGCTTCAAATACCGGATTGAATTGATGACCATCCCAGCTTGCTGAACAACGCAAGGCCGTGCAAAGGATGGCTCAGTCACCATTTGGCTGCGCCCCTCACCAGTGCCAGGCCAACCCGGGGCAACATCCACAGAGCCCACCTGCTGCTCTGCCCGCCTGATACGTTCACGCTCCAGCTCCCGATTAAGGCGCTCCGTAATCCACTCACTCAGCTTGCTCGTCGGCAAATCCTTAGCCTCAAGCATGGCCTGGGGCCGAATCTGTGGGACCAAAAGCAAAGCGGACGGGAAATGCAGCACCAAGTCAAGGCTCTGGTTTCATGACGTCAGCATGACGCTCCGATCCTCTGTCGCACCACCACATGGACAACATGGCATAAGTCAGTACTGCCTCGGCAATGACGCGACACTGCATTACCTCTGTCCGCTGTCGATGCCCGCGTTCGTAGCCGTAGGCGAGGCATTCGGGACATAGGTAGTGCACGTCGTTGTTGTTGCGGCCCTTGTTGAACATGCCGCAGATCTGATGCACCCAGCCCTCGCAGTGGTCGCATTGCACCCAGCCCTCCTCAATTTCGTCATCATTCTTCCGTTTCTACGGGCGCCAAGAGTTTAGAGTAGCAAAGGTCAGAATTATGATTCATTGGTTCAGTTGAAACCAATGCAGCGAAACCCCTTAACAGCCATCCCACGCATCCAGCTACTACGCTACGTTTGGCACTCATACTTCACTACCCTTAATTGCCGCTTAAATGCAACATCAGCTGCTGCAACAAACGCGGATCCCTTGGCACCGTTGCCCAATATCTGTCCGCCATGAGGGATTTATAACTTAACGCCAAGCTGTGCCCACAGCATCCATCCATGCCACAGTGATGTTGACGCTGAAGGCACGGCCCCGCGTCGCATGTACGCTTACCACTAAATCCGTCTTCTTTATTGCTACGCCCTCCACCAAGATGCGCTCCCCTTTCTGGTCGGTGAAGCACTGGTGGCAGAAGTACCCTTTCAAGTCGTTCCCGTGCTCTGGAGGTGTGCTGTAGTAGATCTGCCCACGCTTAATTTTGAGACCGCATGACGAGCAGTAGATGACGGGCGGCTCGAATGAAAGCTTTGCCAGCAAGCAGACCTACGTGTGGCAGGCAATAAGAGGCCGACTTTGCTACAGCTGAAGCTGATAATTGAAGAAATTATCCCCGCGCTATGCCAGACCGCCGTTCCCCTTCCTAATAGCGCCCGGCCGACTGAAAGAAATATCTTTTCCCTTTAAAAGACGACTATTTCCATAACGCTTTCCTATTGCCCCGCCTAGCTGCGAGGACCCGGCCAACGACCCCGTTACACGTTACGACGTAAATTCGACGCCTACAGTTCCTCAACTCAACATGGCGGATGGCCCATACATCGTAACCTTGCACGCAGGAATATTCGAGCTACCATAGCAACATCACTTACCTTGCACGCATCCTCCGGATTCATGGGCGGCGGCTGCTGCTGTGCTTTCTGCGTCACCGCCGCTGCCCGTATCAAATCCACATGCACACGGATCTGCTTTGCGTCGAAGGTCTCCAGCAGCGATGTCCCCGTATTCTGAGCAGCGTGTTAGGCCAGGGAACAACCGACGTCAGAAGGTTCCAAAGCCTCACGCACGGGTGAGCGTATAATGGACCGACACATCGGGCCAAACCCAGGCGCACGCAGCAAAGTCTATGCATGTAAGGTAAACTGCTTACCTGCCGCAACACATCCTCGGTCTTAGGCCGCTTGGGTGCCGGCTGCTGCGGCTGCGACTGCTGTGGCACCATGGGCTGCTGGCCAGGCCCCTGCGGCTGCGGCTGCTGCATGGGCTGCTGTAAGGGGTCGCCCATGCCCATCCCCATGCCGCCCGGAACCGGCACCATCCTGCTCACACCGTCCAGGCTGGCCGACCCCATGCCCCCCACGTTCATCATTTCGTGTGGCCGCTTCTGGCCCCCGAGGCTGTTGGCGTTTAATCGCATCACCTGTGGGATTAAAGCGTGGACGGGGAAGTCATGTTTAAAAGCCCTCCATTTTCATTGCCGAGACCTAACGCAGAACCCAGTCCATGGCATACGTCGCTTATGTTTATGATTCATGACCCGCCGCTGGCGTCAAGTGTATGGCGTTATCTGATTAGGTTCATACCGTACCTGCTGTTGCTGCTGCTGTTGCTGCGGTACCATACCGTTGGGCATCATGTTAGGCTGCCCCGGCATAAATGGCCCGCCAGCTCCCTGCTGCTGTTGCTGCACCTGCTGCTGCTGTTGCTGCTGAGCTGCTGCCGCTTGCTGTTGCTGCTGCTGCTGCTGCGCTTGCTGCTGCGCTTGCTGTTGCGCCTGCTGCTGCGCTTGCTGCTGCTGCGTCGCCTGTCGTGTCTTCTTCACGTAATCCTTCACGGGCGCACAAATTGGACACTGCGATGCCTGCAAACGCCACGCAGTTGCAGGGAGGTGGAAAACGTATTAAGGATGCACCCTCAACCCTTCCCCTCAACCGAACACCGCAACATGTTCTATGCCCGCGTCATAACGTACCCACACAGCCCGATACGGATACGGCAAATTACGAAGTACAAGGATACTGGGGGAAAGCGCACCTGGCACTTTTGGTGGTGCTTCAGCAGCTCTTTGGAGCTCGTACACCGCGGGTAGTCGCACTGCGCGTTCTGACACGATAGGATATGGGCCCACAGCTGCTTTCCGAACTTGCACTGCGTTTTTAGCTGGCACTCTTCCCCAGGGGCCCGGCACTTCGCGCAGTGCCTCAGAAATAGCAACCAGCGCTGCTGCTTCTGCACGTACTGCTCCTGCACCTTAGGGTTGATCTCCTCGGGCATGCCTGTACGGAAAGAAACTCCCTCGGACTCATGCGTATGCGTGAACGCAAACCGGGTCGGTTTGCCACTAAACCCACCATTAAGCATTCCAGTGGTATTGGACATCGGGTTCGGGCCCTGTCCCATTGGCCCCACCCCCGATGACGTGGCCGAGAATCCGGTGCCGGCGTTGCTCACGGGAATCATCCCGGGAAGCGTCGAAGCGCCGTTAGTGATGCCTCCCACAGGCACCATCCCTTGCAGGTTGGGCCCCATCGTCCCCATACCTGCAAATGCGACCGTGATCAGATACCGCGTTCTGACGCAGTAAGTATTTAAGCATCTGCGGCAGTAAGCATCTTACCGGCATTCGATACAGCCTGCGGCCCACTGAAGTTCGCCATGTTGTTGAGCAACGGCGAGCCAGCCGTGTTGATCCCAGGCATACCGGGGTTCAATGGAACCATTCCGCCGTTGGGCACCATTCCCCCGCTCGGCACCATTCCCCCGCTTGATACCATTCCCCCGCTCGGCACCATTCCGCCGCTCGGCACCATGCCCCCGTTGGGTACCATGCCGCTGTTGGATACCATGACGCCGTTCGGCACCATTCCCCCGCTTGGCACCATGCCGCTGTTCGGCACCATTCCCCCGCTTGGCACCATGCCGCTGTTCGGCACCATTCCTCCGTTCGGCACCATGCCCCCGTTTGGTACCATTCCTGCACTGGGCACCATGCCGCTGTTAGGCACCATTCCTCCGTTCGGCACCATGGCGCCGTTAGGAACCATGCCCCCGCTGGGAACCAAGCCGCCGTTTGGTACCATGGCGCCACTGGGCACCATGCCATTGGCCATAGGTATCAAGCCACTGGTCCCGCTGGTACCGTTGTTCGGCACGAAGCCTGCGTTTGGCATAGCCTGCTGTTGCGAAATCATGGCTGGTCCCGTCGCGAGCTGGCCTGGCAAGAGACCTGCGCAGCGAATAAGACATAAGACATCGCGAAGCGAACATGTTGCCAGACCCACGTACCGTTAATAGTCAGCTTGTTCATCGCCTGTTGCCCAGGTTGTCCCTGCATCAAATAACCAATTTACCTAAGAGGTTTTACATTTGGAAATAGAGTTCTACCAACGAACGCATCCTCACCCCAAGCAGCTGCTGAGTTGCGTTCCCGTTCCAGTCCCGCTGAGAACGCAAAAGGACAGGAGCACCATTGCTCATAACGCCTTGCGGCATCGCTGCGCCTGGGTTAAAGGCTGGGTTGCTGGCTCCCAGGAGTTGCGGGTAATGGTTACTCGGGTCGAGCTGCGGCATAGGCTGCGAAGGCACCATGCCTCCAACTTGAGGCATTTGGTTTCGCAGCGGGTCAGGCAAGCCCATGCCTCCGGCCAGGCTTCCGTTGTTCTGCATGAAGCCCTGTGTCTGCATGGGCTGGTTTGGGGGAAGCTGAAACTGCGGCGGCATGCCCGGCATTCCCATATTCATCATCCCTGGCATTTGCCCAGGAGGTGCAGCAGGCTGCTGCAGGCCAGCTTGCGGCATCGGTGCAGTCTGCAACACTCCTGCGCCGGGCTGAGCTGCTTGGTGAGGCCGGACAAAGCGCTTCGCGACGTCGTGTAACCGTTGTTCGAGCGTTTTTATATCAGTATACTCCTCCTGCAGCAATTAAGTGTAAAGGCCTCAGCGCGGGTCCCGGGCCAGAGTCTCCTCAAAGCTCTACTTGCCTTGCTATTTGCCGACCGATACAGCCCCTCCTCCAGCCGCTTAACAAACTCCGGCAGCTTGTTATTATACTGCTGTGTTGATGGCCTCTTTGTTTGAAATATTTGGAATCTGTGCGCGTAGAGAAGCACTCTCCGTCAACACGATGACCAGGGTCTTCGCGATACCGCGCGGACATACATTTGTTCGGTCATCATTTGACGGTCAGCAGTATCCGCATCCGATTGCCATGGCAGTCTGGCAGGAGCGGTAGATGTGGCAGAAACAGCTAGTGAGGACATTCTGTATGCCTGTTCTACCCCCACTGGGAACGCTAGGCTATCGGGCTATCGCATCAGTCCATTGTGTTTGAAAAGCAGGAAAAGATGTGCGAAGGGGTTTGCGAAGAAAACCAACGTACGCACTGGGAGCTCTGCGCATTCGGCAGGCAGGGTCCAGGTCCAGGGGGGCCAGCTCGGTGGTTGGACATTCAACCAACTTGAGACTACCGGTGCAACGACAACTACAAAAGGGGCCATACCTGTCCAATCTTTGGCAGTCTCACACAAGCGGGGTCCAATAGGGTGACGCCGTTACTTTGATGCGCTTTAGGCTCCGGCTGCTCGACGTTCCTTCCTGCTGAGATGTCGCGCCGTTCCGCATAGCAGCCCTGGATGATAGCCCACGCATATCCTAAGTTTTTTCGACCACACCGCTTCTATTTGGACAACTTTTGATGCCCGTCGGCAGCGGAGGTCTGCGCTTTGCCTGACATGACATTGCGCATACATTGAAGCGTGAGTACCCAGGAGAGAATTACTAGCTTACCAACACCACTGGACAGTATAGCTCTTAAACTGCTCGTTATGCAACTGAATGCACTTCATTATATCTCTGCGTGAAGGACAAGGCACTACACAGCACAGGACGCGACTGGGGAAGCTCCCTTTCGGAGAGGGCCCTGGACTCCGATTGGGTTGATGGCACCGGGCTGCGGGAAGAGGGAAAACCAATGGGCCCGCAGGGCAAAACACAGTGTCTAAGCCTGCCGTCTCTGACAGACAGGAGCCGGACTGGGAGCCTTTGATCCCGAGCAGCTGCTGCTTGTGAGCTGGCCGCCCGATGCCAACAAGCTTGAAAGGGCAGGATGAGAGGGCAACCTGAACATTACTTGCCTGGACCGACGCAGCTCAAAGCCACAGAATTGTTTTGGGAACAGTGTGGCGAGCGGCTTGGCAGGTGCAGAGCCTGGCAGGCGCAGGACAATCCTTACATCATGTCTAGTCCACATTACCTTCTTTGCAATCTCCTGTTGCTGACTGCTTATCTACCCTACCTATTACGCTAACCAGGGATCGCGATCTACGCAGGGCGACCAGCACGCCTCACGTTGCAGCCAAACGCAGCGCACCACACACATACATACGTACACACAGATATGTATGTATGTATACATACATACACACGTACACGCGTACGTACATACATACATACACGTACACGCGTACACACGGGCTGGCACGCACCGCGTTACGTCATGAACTATGTTCCCGATTATGTCTCTGTCCTTCGAATAATATAGACACAACAACAACAGCAACTTTGTCACCTGCGTAAAGACCTTAACCTGGACAGCTGGTCATCACAGCCCAAATGAAGGCCACTCGCTTAGCAGCACGTCCATTGGGCTCTTTTGTACAAGCTAAGCTGGACGGAGGCCTGCTTCGGGGTCATTTGAACGATTGCAACAAAATTGTACAATAGCGATTAAGTCTAAGTGCGGCGCCGGCCGCCACCCCCTCCCAACATGGACATGCCGTCCTGCACGGCAGAAAGCATGATGGCCTTATAAAAACGCAAGGAGTCTAGTCCAACCAACTGACCGATGGACGCGCTTGTGGAAGAGGTCTGGGCTCTGGCTGATGATGAAACGAGGCTATCCATCGTCTGCCGCCTTCAGCGGAGCCAGCAGCCGTCCGGGCGGTTGCTGTGGTGACAGCGCCGTGAGCCGAATCCTGCCCCTGCCTCACATACAACCAAACACCTTGCAACCGCCAGCCCAAGCAAACACCCCCACTGGCACCGAATACCTCACCAACCAGCTCTTCTCGCAACACAGCGCGCTGAATATCCTCCGATGCTGGACAGCGGCATAACACCCCACTACGCCTACTACAGAGCAAGCCCATGTTGGTCATGAACATGGCACTCTCTGAAGACGTGCTCAAGTGGCTGAGCCACCAGAGACCAGGGCTCGCCTGGTGCCAGCCTGCAGCCAAGAGTATTCATTCGTCGCACTCTGCGCCCGCACTCACCAACAGCCTGCAACGCGCCAACCCCAGCCAATAGGAAGCCTGCATATTCGCGTGCTGGCCCACAGAATCCTCCGTGGACAAGCTCGCCAGGTCCCCCTCCTTTTTCCGTAATCTGGCCCGGCTGCCGGGTATCTTACGAGGATGCATCGAGATGGCCGTCTGACTGCCACTCACAGCGGCTGGATGTGGGCCGCGCGCGGCTGGATGTGCGGAGGTGGGGGACAGGACCCGGTCTTGATTCGCTCCTACAATGATCCCTGACGCTGCAGCACAATCCAGGCCGCCTACGGAGCCACAGCGCAACATGACCAGGCCTCCACAGCAGACACCATGACGCAGCGCGCGCAGGTGGCCAAGCCCAGAGTCAGAATTGGTGGGCGAGGGACAATGCGGCTACGACATGCCAGGATCGGGCTGTGGAACAGACGCCACGTACATGCTTAAAGCTGGGTGGGGGGACATCGGCGCGAGGCGACAGGCGAGCTCTATGTCGCGTCACGTGGTATCCGAGGACAAGTCTTCATGCTTCTGAACGGCGGCGGAGAGCTCCGCGTAGTCTCCTGGGGGCCTCGGCGTGGAGGAGTCATGGGCGCGGGTTGGGAAACATGGGGTGGGAAAACAATAAGTGGGGCTGGGGTTGGAAATTTCGTGAACACGTGGATTGCAATTAAATATTGTGAAAAGTAAAGATGGAGAGGGAGGTTAAGAGCTGGGCAAGGACATAAAGCACGCGGTCTTTTGACGAAGGAAGACGATGACGCAGAAGACACACATACACACACATACACACAATACACATACACGCACACGCACACAAGTAGTCCGGCGTGGAACTTCCCCTTATCCTGCAGGTGCGCTCACTGCATACCCACAACCCTCTCCCTGCTCCCTACTCAGAGGCTCTTCGCCCCAACGAAAACGCAACACCCGGTCGCCGGACTTGCTTGCCACCTGACAGGGAAACCAACGGATATGCCCCACAGCATCCACACAGGCGGATGCACCCTCAGTCGGGTGACATCATTGGGAAATTGACCTCCCCGCCTCAGCTGCTACGCCACGATTTTCCACAATTATACACGTTCTCGCATCGCTCCCTCTTGGCATCCTTTCTCTCCACCCCCGACAGACTCACTCGCGAAACACTCACTCACACAACCAGCACCACGCACATGTACGCGCATGTGCCCGGTCCCCATCCCGGCCACGCCACATAGCCCATCGCACCTCCCAACATGCTCATGACCTTGTGCCAGTACTTGGGGCCCTCTCCTAGTTCCACCTCCTGCAGAATGAGCTTGGGACTGGCAGCCGCAGTGAACCACACACCCCGCTTGCACTCCATCAGCAGCTGCCCCGGGCCCCAACCAGCGTAGGCATTGAACCAGCTGCGCGGCGGGCAGGGCAGGACAGGAGGAGGCAAGGCCGCGAGGCGCCAGCAGAACACGGTTAGGTTCACGGTTTTGAAGTTGGGCATTTTCGTTGCTAGAAAGGCAACCTGAGGCCTCACTTCTCTGCGGCACCGAGGTGCAGCAGGGAAGGGCCTCTCGAGGGCTGGTCCCGGCATGATGCACCCTTTCAAAGCCGTTAGATCTATGCCGCATCAATACCAATACAACGTCCATGGCCCCCCCGGCTTTTACGGACACACCCGCACTTGTGTGCGGAACTTGTAACTTGTAACTCTATGCAAGCGCAATCCGAAACCCCCTCGCAGAGCCGACCAACAACGACCCAACGACCCAACCAACCATGCTGACACGCGTGCCCGTAGCTGCTGGCATTTGGCCGTCCAGGACCCCAGCCGCAATCAACTCGCGTCGCTGAGATCGGCCGTGCGGATCCCATCTTACCGAAAGCTTTTAGCTTGGGCGAAGCCCGCGTCCACCGCGTCTCGTGCGGCGTCGATGCCGCCTGCGTACACCCCCTGGACCACCTCCGCCGCGCCTGACGGGTTCGTGGCAGGTTTGGGAGGGCAAGGCAAATCTCAGACACGCAATGGCAGGGGAAGGACAGGGATGAGGTTCACGGGCAGTTTGAGCGCAGCACCGAAGCGCCGACACGTAAAAGGAAGCTGCATGCCGGGGAAAGTATAGTTGTTTATGTTTATATAATTGAGGTCGAGGCCGAGGGCAAAGGCCCAGCGAGAAGCATTGGCGGGCAAAAGAGCCTCACTAAAACGCCTTACCTTTCCTTTCCTCCTTTGCTCGCTAAGGGTACCGCTCCTCTGCCGGTACAAGTACAGCCTCGGGTGATGGCGGTCCACAAAACAAGCCACTTAAGGCCAGGCTTAGGGATAGCACACCACGAGCGTAATGCGCCAGTTTTTCACTCTTTCCCTGACCCGTCACCCGCTCTACCTGCTCTACTTTCATGCATTCTCCATCCAACGAACCTCCACCCTACCTGAAAGCTGGCCGTACGGATGTATCACCTGCGTGAGCGCAGAACATAGGCAAGGGCGTTTTGTCAGTTGCGCGGTTAGTTAGCGGCCAAACAACCAGGTAAGGTAGGCCATGGGAACGTCGGTTATCCCAGCTAGACGCGAACTGCAACCCGTTATTTGCGTACAGCTAATATTGCATGTTGATTGATTGATTGATTGATTGATTACACATATCAATACGGCACATGGATGTACGATGTCGTGGACTGCGTGAGAAACTGCAAAAAAAACAATTTGCGGTCGTAGCAGGCCGTGTCGAACGGCGTTGTATCCAGCTACGAGTGCGTTGACATCAGACATTTTGGCGCCCTAGAAGCATCAGCACGAAGCTGGTGCCGCAGCCGGCCCATCATCACCACCGACATCAGCGGTAGCAGTGCCACCCAGGGCGACGGCCCCAGCATCACTTCCAGCAGATTAGCCATCTCTCTCCACCTCCATCTCCTCTGTAACCTACTTCCCGGAGCAGGGCCCCCCCGGGCAGTCCCCACAAGAACACGTCCGCATTGCATAGCCTGTAGCCTTGCACTCGTCCTTCAGCACACGCACACGGGCAAAAGGCAATGCAGTACATGGTGTGTCTATATCCGTTCAAGCCTGCAGCGCACGCCCACTTCCCGCCCCCGCTGGCTGACCTGCACCTCCCCCATGCCCACATCGCCTCCGATGTACAGCCGGCAATCCCCAAACTGAGTTTGCGGCCGACTGAGGGGCACGTCCCCGATGAGGTACTTGGACGGTCGGTTCAGAATGACACCATAGCTACGCAGCCAGTGGCACAGCCAGGCACGAGCCAGCCAGCCAGTCCAGGCGCACAGAGGCAGATATCCAGAAAGGACAAAGGAAAGGGGCGACGGAAATTCAAGGGGAGAGGTCATGGGAGTTTCGGAGGCGGGTTGCGGGCAACAAGATGTGATGTGAATGCGCCATGAGATCCAGAAGGCGATGCTGTTGACCCCTAGCTGCCTAGGCGGCCCCACCTGCCCAAGTCCCCGTGCTCCAGCAGCAGAATGGCCGCCCGGTGGAAGTAGGTCTGGCTCTGTTGGAACAGCAGCGGGTGCGCCAGCAGCAGGGCGCCTTTCTCAGGCTTGGGGATGATGTGGGCCCACTCATCCGACTCCGCGCCGGTGCCGCCGCGTGACTGGGAGACCAGCTTGGCCCTGTTTGAGGTATGAGGGAATGGGGGCCGAGGCGGCTGAGGGAATCCAGACGGGAACTGACCCGATGGCTCGTGAGGTGGAGTACGTCGCTGGAATTGTGGAGCATGTGAATCCGGATCAAGATGTGTGATGCGTGGATTGAAATTGGATTTGGAGTGGAGAGCCGGAGATGAGGAGGCAGTTGCATCCAAGAGGATGGCTGAGGGGAACATGTTGATGTTGATGCCAGAATTCAGGAAAGTCGATGGCGCGGGGATCGGCAACACGGCATAAGGTGCATGAGGTGCCGGTGTACAGAGGTTAGGTATGCGTCAGCAGTGGCGGATGAAGTGGAGTGTGCGGGGAGGGAAAGGTGGGAGTGGGGAAAGGTGACGGGTAAACAGTGGGGAATGCGTCTAAGAAGCAAATTCTTTGGCACCTCCAGAGAAGGGACGGCCCCACGCAGACCTTCCTAAAACCCCGGCGGCTGGCGCCGGCCTCACGCCTGTGCACTACGGTGGCCACCTCTGGCAACGGTTGCTCAATGAACTCCACCTCTTTGATGAGCGAAAAACGGAGGAGGTTAGCCGGTACGGCCCGCACCTAAATTCACGCCAGTCCAATGCGCTCCCCATGTAAGGCAGCGTGTCAGGGATCGAGGATGAGCCAGAGCTGCCCTGCAGCGCGCTATCATCCATTTCGGGATGAGGAGGTCGCCTCGGCGTGTCTTCGCTCTGCTGGTCGCTGCTAAGTGGGTTACGGGAGGGAAACTGGGTTCAGCGTCGACGGAGCTCGCCGTATGCGGCGTTGGAGACGCCAACAGACTTACTCGTTATCCGTTGGACCCAAGGTGCATCTCTGCACCATCCGTGTACGCCATAAGCGTCGAATGCCAACCTATCCACACCGATGTTGCAAATTCCTCGATAAGCGATACCAATCACGGCCAAGTCGCCATGGAAAGTGATTAGCTTGAAGCATGATGCGACAACTCACCGGCCTTGGGCCTTTTATTTGATTGTTCCGAAACTTGCTTGCAATTCGGCCATCGGGAACATGCACACGAAATGAGATCATCTTTTGCATCTATTAAGTACTTTAAAACATACAAAGGAAATCCTTTAACCTGCGTATATGTGCGAAGCTGTACAAGTAACCCGTCGGTGCTATCTACTGGCGACTAATAATAGTTGTGCTCATGCAGGTATTCATCAGGTCCGTATTCCTGCAAGGCAGGATTGGGGAAATCTTGACTGAGTAAATGATTGTGGCTGATTGCAAGCAGGGCCCACCGGGACAACGAAGAACGAACAAACCGGAATTTTCGTGGTACGTGGCTACAACCTACACGGATTTCTTGCAGCGGCCCAATAACATTTCGGTAAACTTGCATAATAGATCCCATCTGTAACATAATTTCCCGGCCAATAGCTAAAGAACAAAGCGTGTACGGTACGGCGCTGTCGAGCGCTTCTTGTCACATTGCAATATACCTTGCCACCCATGCACGTGCGCGATCCTGGACCAGCTATCAATGAACGTGCTCAAGACCCCTCAGCATGCGACTTTGACTCCTGGGGGAGGTAGCCCCTAGCGAAGCCTGAAGGTGCCAAAGGTCTTACCCAACTGGGTAAGACCGTTTTCATTGCGCTTCCTGGTCCCAGCCCCAAGTCGTTGCGTTGCTATCACCATGGCTGCCAAGAAAGCACTACAACGGGAGATGCAGGGCTCTACAGGAGACCCGCGCCAGAAAATTCGGGACGGGTTCTCGTGCCAGTGAGCCCTATCCTCAGGCCAATCCATAAGGTCGCCCGTTTAAAAGGCGGTGTCCGCCTCCTGGCTTTTTTGCCTCTGCTGACTCCCTTAAGAGCTCGGTAGCATTTCTACTGTCAAGAGCATACAAATGCCACCTCTCCGTCTGAATGCTCCGTCTGAGCACGCTTTAAGGTGTTAAGCAGGACAGCCGGATGCCACCCCAGGGACAGGTCATGCCCGAACCTGGTGGTGTAGGCTTTTGTGAATACAGGTTCGATACCATGTCGCCTTGTTCAAAGAGCCGGTTCCTCAATGCGGATCTTAACCTAAGAGCCCCTGTGTGTCTGTGTCCTGGTGGGGTGACGCATTTTGCCATCCGGATTGGCACGAATGACTTTCCAAACTGGACATGAAACCGATGCAACTCGCGACTGCGCAGCAAGGACACGCTGACAATCCACCTTAACGTAGCACTGCATGATCCCTGCTACGCCAAGCCACTGCGCGACCAACGAAGGGTGCGGGAACTCCCGCACACGAACTCTAGCTTTTACAACATACAACACCCACATAGGCAAAATGCTCCCTTCCAAGTAAGTGCCCCATGACCCCATATGCTTGTACATGTTATCAAGTATTCCATCGCGAAAAAACATAAAAAGCCCTGGGCCCACACTACAAGCTTTCAAGCCGCCGGATCATCATCAGCACGCACCGCACGACAAACGGCGCTTCGAGGGCCACGGCTTTCATCAAAACCGGTGCCGTCCCGGAGAAGGCCCTCCTCTGCAGGCACCAGCCCTGGCGACCACTGCCCCGCGCCAGCCTCTCCGCACTTCCACAGACACCTCTTGTCGCAACACACTACACACAGGACGCCCATATGCTGCATTCAGCAACCCTTGCGGCAATCGCCGCATCTACCTACCACCCTCCAGCGCAATTGTGCAGAACTCAGGCGATGCCCGAGCAGGTGCCGCGAGAGACGTGCTGTTGTAACACCCCTGGCTAGACCGTGTAGCCCAGGAGTGAGGAAAAAAGAAAGAAGGGGGCGCACCCGCATATCCCCGCCCTTCACCACGCCACAATGCTCGTGCTGCAAAGAACGCGAAATCCTCATACTGTTTTACCCGCGGTGGCCAGTAAGTGAGGAGAGCCACTTGGCTTCTTTGCACCCCCCACCCCACCGCAAGGGCGACCGCAAAGCTTTCGGCGTTGGGCAGCCTTGCTTTATTAAGGTTGAACCATTAAAAGCCCAATAGTGACATGCTCATCATTTCGACCTCCCTTGCCTTCGCGGGCTCTGGCAAGGGAAACCCAATCGACGGTCCAGTAACATCGATGTATCCTCGTTGTAATACATGGGTAAAGTGGACCACAGCGAACACGAGATTCCTTCCTCTTTCTGCACCCCCTATCTCGCCCACTGCAACTATGGTTTTTGAAGGTGCGGCGGACACGGTTCGTAATACTGCGGTTGCAGACCACATTACTGACGGTGATTCATGGTAACGTGAAGCCGCGGACCGCCGTGAGAAATACACAGACAAGTCCAAGTACCAAATCAAGCAGGGGCATGGCTTTAAGGGGCGCCTGTGTGCGCTGATGGTGTGTCGAAGGTGTGCAGAAGCGTTGCTTGGGTGGCAGCGCGGGTATATGGGCAGCGCTGCTGCCTACGGACGCCACCGAAGCATTTTTGCACAACTACTGCTGCTTTTGCTGCTGCCGCTGCCGCTGTTGCCGGTCTGCTGCGGCACGAATGGCCCATAGCACGGCTTCACCTTCCCCATCCTCTTCCTCCTCTTCCTCCCCATCCTCCTGCTCCTCATCGCCGCCTCTATCGTCCATTTCCTCCTCATCCTCCGCATCCTCATCGTCACCGACTTCCTCGTCACCTCCATTCGATTCTGATCCGGGCTCCCCCACCGCGGCAGCCGCTAAACCAGCCCCATCCGCTGCCTGGCGCTGGCCCTCATCGTCGTCGTCGTCAGCATCATCACCAGTATCCTCACTACTGTCAGCGCTTTCGCTGCTGCTATTGGCTTCACTGCTGCTGCTACTAGTGTCAGAAATAATAATAATGGTGGGGCTGCGGCCAGCGTTGCCAGCAGTTGTACCTTGAGGCCGTGACCGCTGGGCCTCGCCCCTGCTTGGTTGGCCGACTGCCGGCCGCCCTACCATGTCGACCCCCATCACGCCCTCGCCGCCATCCTCCTCCTCCTCCTCCTCTTGCCCCATTTCCTGGTCATTATTCTCGTCCTGTGGGTCATCATTATCCTCCGATGACGCCACCTGCGCTGCCAGTTCCTCTGTCCCCGGACCTCGGTCATCATCGCTGCTGTCTTCATCATCGCTACTGTCGCTGCTACTGCTGCTGCTTTCATCGTCGCTGCTGACGTCCTTGCTGTCATCGGCATCACCACTTCCACCATTGTCGCCGATGCTATTGCGGCCAGTAACACCACCAACCTGGGCTTCTTTTTGGCCCCTGCCAGCCGCTTCAGGTTCCACCTGCAGGCGGGACCGCTTGCCCGGCCTCGCCTCCTCTCTGCCTGTGCCGTCCCTGGCTGCATCAGCTGCCGGACCCGCCTTACCCTTACCGCTGTCCTCGCTGTTCCTGGTAATGTCGCCACCGCTTTCATCCCCACCACTTGTGTCGGAGTCATCGGACAGCGAGGCGCCCTTCACTTCCGGGCTTGGTAGTGTGCCGACGTCGACACCGACAGTAGCTGAGATGCGCCTAGCGGCTTCTGCTGCAGCGGCACGCCGCTGAACCCCCGGCCGGCCGGCGCCTGCAGTCGGAGTCCTCTTAACCGAGGCCGGCTCCGCCCAGGCGTCGTCGCTGCTGCTGTGCTCGCTCCACTTTTCGCCGCTGTCCCCGTTGCCGCCGCCGCCGCCACCACTGCGTCCGCGTCCCCGTCCGCGGCCACGTGTCAGCCTTGTTGTGGGTGTCGCGGCATCAGACTTACGCGGCCGGCCTTCCCCCAGGCCGCGGCCCCGCCCTCGCCCTTGCTGTGACAACAGCCGCTGGGCATCGTCGCGCCGATCTGCTCGCGACTCCGTTCCACGCCTGCCGCCTCCCCGTCCCCGTCCCCGCTGCCCATGCGCCCTTGGCATCTCGCTCCTCTCCCCTTCCGAACCACCCCACATGCCCTCTCCGTCTTCTTCTTCCTCTTCGTCTTCCTCTTCCTCTTCCTCCTCTTCCTCCTCCTCCGCGTCATACAAAGAACCCCCCACCTCTTCGTCCCCTTTCACGGCATCCGCCAAGCCGTCCTTTCCGAGCACGCTCTGCACCGCCTCTGCCTCTGACAATCCCCGCTGCACCAGCTGCATCACCTGTCGCGTTCGGACCTCCATCCTGCTCATCTCCGTCAGCAGCGCTGCCACCCAGTCCAACAGAGCATCAAACGACACACTCTGTGACCAAGCAAGCAGCCCTAGCACAGCCACTGCATCCGCATGCATTCGCACGCCCGGCAGGACTAGCGCCCCCTGCACCCCTGGCTTCGACGGTGGCAGGCTGTCTTTGGGGGCCACAATACCGGCGCCGCGCGGCAGCAGCTGCGACAATACCAGGGCGGGGTCCGGCCAGGGCGGATCATGTTGCTGGGGCTGTTGCGGGTCTTGGTACTGAGTCTCCGGTGGTGGTTGATCCTGGGTTGGGGCCTGGGCTTGGGCTTGGGGTTGGGCTTGCTGCTGCGGGCCGGCAAAGGGCGCAATGCGTGGTAGGCCCGCCAGGGCCGCTGCCTGCGGTCCGGCCGCAGCGATTGTTACCGGAAGACCATCTGCGATGTTTAATGCCGCTGCACAGCTGAAAACAGCAGCTGAGCGTCCAGATGTACCAACATCCTGATGATTTCCCACAAGGCCATCGCCGCCGCCGCCACCTTCAACACCACGGCCGCCATCCTCCTCACGCACATTCGCGGCCGCCGTCGCGGCCGCCGCCTGCGGTGCAGCTGTGGACCTTGGCGGGGACGGGGGCGCCTCCTCCGGGTCCGCTGGTGCTGGTGCTGCTGCCGCCGCGGCGACGCCGACTGGCACCTGTGCAGCCAACGAAGCCCGCTGCATCTTGTACAGGACCCTCTGCAGTTTCCGGGTAGAGACTCTGGGGACACGGTTAACATACGAGTAGGCCATCAGGCGCTCAGCTGCCGTCACCACAAAGGCCCGCAGCTCGTCAGTTGGCAGGTGCGATGCCTGTGGAACGGTTTAAACCGTGGAGACGAACACGAACGGACATGGGTATCAGTTGTGAGTGTTGCGTGCACTTAGGGTAATGATTGGCATCATCGCACCACCAAGGCGTGTCCGACATGTGCAACGCAAGTCCACCAGTGTGATAGTGCAGTTGCCCGGCGGCGGCATGCAGTACCGGGACTTGCAGCACTGGACTGGAGCACGTCGCCTCGAGGCCCCGAGGACGCCTTTGCCAGCGACAAGGACTTCCGCGACTTCCTCAGCCGCGTAACATAATTCAAAACGCAGCGAATACCCCAAACCGCAACAAACAGTTTCCCGGCGCCTAAATCTCTCACGCCCGTCATCGCCGTCATCTGTTTCATCCAGCTGCTCAGTCGCCTGCCTTACCTAGCCGTCTACCGCGGTTTTCCCGGCTCTCGGGCGGGTAGGTTTGCAGGTACAGGGTTTATGAAGCTTCGGCCATGTAATACGCGCACACACATGCACGCAGATGCCACCCGATGCCTGCCCAGCCCGATGCCTACAAGCTTCAGCACCCGCACCCTCCTAACCCACTCACCTCCCACGCATTAAGCGGTGCAGTTGTGACGGGGGTCTTGAAGGGCCGTGGTCCCATCTGCAAGGTTGCCCACGCGGGCCAGCCCCCAGCCGGAAGCACCAGGGGGGGCACTCCGGGAAGCAGCGGCGGTGCAACGTCATGGAGGAAGGAGCGGCCAGGCAACGACGGCCCTGCTGCTGGCCCCTCCTTACCCGCCGCCTTCTGCCGCTTCCCAGGCTTCTTCGGGCGCCTTCGGGCACCTCCAGGCGGTTCGGCGGGCGCCTCGCCTTGCGCCGCCGTCGCCGCCGATCCCCCACCTGCTACAGCCGCCGCTGCTGCTTCACCCCCTTGACCCAAGGACTTCCGCGGCCTTTTCCGCGTCGCTTTCGTGTTCGCCGCGTCGCCATGCGCCGCTGCCTCCACTTCTCCGCCTGCCGTTGCTGCGGCTCGAAATGCTTTATACTCGCCCACCGCCTCACCGTGCGCCATCGCCACGGCCACTTCTCCTGCTCGTCCACCTGCGGCTGGTCCCTCATGGCCCACGGACCGGCCCGTCCTCCTCGCGTCCGGCACCTCGCCGCCCGCCTCCCCCGCCTCCCCCTCCGGTGATCCTCCTCCGGCGCGAGCCCCTCCAGCCCGTGAATCCTTCAGATGGGAGAGGTGGTCAGCGCCGTCAGACGCCACCGCCGGCGGCGGTGCTGCGCTTCGGTTGTCTAGTCCATAGCACAACTTGATGGCGACGAAGACCAGCGCCGTGAGCGGCAGGTAGGGGTACGTTCCACGTAATCCAACGGCATTGGGGTGCAGCAGCGGCGACGCCAGAAGGTAGAGCCGGTGGAGCTCTCGGGACACGAGGAACACATGCTGTTGGGGGAGAGGGGTATGAGAGGGCAGAACACAAGCGCGCCCAAAACGTTGGGTGAGCACGATTGCGGATGCCCCGTGTCCTGCGTTCTGTGCGGTGTTTGCGGGAAAGCATGTGACAGGTTCCGACAAGACCAGGATGGCTGCGGGCGTGGGAGAAAGGAAAGGTTGGCAAAGAAACCCTGACAACGTAATAGGCTTTTAGACGGTTTCACAGCGAGGTTTCACATGGCTGCGGAACCATCTAAAAGACTAAGTTGGCAATTGCAACACCTGGCCGTCCGAACCCCAGGCACAGCGCGGGCAAAAGGGCTTGCAGGTTACCATGGAGACCAGGATATGAACATTTCCGCAGGGGCAAGGGAACAAAGCCGGTCTAGTCTAGGTTGTGTCTCTTCCTTCGTATCCCCCCCTCCCTACCCCGGGCAGGCCGAGCGCGTCTGTCATCTTGGCCAGCAGCCCCTCCACATTGAGGGGCGGCAGCTGCAGACCTAGCACACCCGCCATCTCCACGGCAGCCACCAGCAGCCGCCGCGGCGGCACGGCCCCTTTAGCAGCCAGCAACCTCGCGGGAAAGGTTTTGAACGGAGATGATCGAAGCAGCGGCTTGCCGCGCATCTGTGTCCGGGATGGGGCATCAGAGGCGGCGGGGGGGGGATACCGAAAGATGAATGCTTCTCAGGGGAAGCTGTCAAGGAGGAGGAGGAGGAGGAGGAGGGGTTGGCGGTAGAAAGGATGATGGGATGCGCAAGGCGACCCTGGCGTTCCATCTTTACCTACCTGACTTGCTTCTGTTTGTCCTCTCTCGACGCCCATGCCTACATATACTTGGCCTTCCTCAATCCATCAATCCCTCATTTGAGCAGTGGCTAATGGACTGTCGAAATACGTTTTCTATACAAACAAAAGTCAGAAATTTTCATTTTCTCATTTGAAGCCGTTCATTCAGCAACCCCCCCCTTACCTTACCTGCAAGTCCCGGTACGGCAGCGACTCGTTCAGGGCCCAGCGGACGACGTCCACCGGAGTGACCGGCATCCTCAGCAGCAGACAGGTCAGCAAGGTCATGACCAGGGTAGCGGACGGGGGCATCAGCTGCGGCGAAGAAGCGGGGGGAAGAGGGGGGAAAGTGTGCTAGTGCGAGGCGTGTAGGTGCAGGGGTGCAGGTGCGTAGGCGGGGGGAAAGGTGGTGCAATACGTGCCCTCCCCCCCTGAACCCGCCCCCTCCCCTTTCCTCCCGTGTCCACACCTCACCCGGCGAATGAACCCGTCCATCCGGGCCGCTCCCCAGTCGATGTCAGACGCCCCGGTGGTGTGGAACTTCGACGTCATCTTCACGCGCCTCATGCCCGGCCTATTCGACGATGTGAGGGTCCCAAATGCGGACCTGCCGAAGATGTCGCTTCCGCCGCCCATGTGGCTCTCCGCCAGCACGCCCTCCCGCGCAAGGCCCGGATAGCCCGAGCCGTCCAGGTAGGCGTGGACCGTTGTGCCGCTGTTACGGCGGTTTGGCGGTTGGGAGAGGAAAACGGGACCCAGCCGCCCGTGGGAGGAGAAATGGCTCGAGCGGGAAAGTGGGCGGGATGCATGTTTGGAAAGGCTTCACGGAATGCGGTTTTGAGGCGCAAACGGGTTGGTCGACTGGTTGTTATCCAATGCTCTCCCGCCGTCACTCAATCATCACTCACACACGCTCCCTCACCCACACGCTCCCTCACCCACACGCACCCAGCCCTTCCTCAGCCCAACCCTTTGCAAACCTTACCGCTATTTCCAGAACCCCTTTCCATCCAGCCGCGCTCACCCGACCCGTGGGTCCAGATCCAGGAGCCCAGTCAACGGCACGAAGCCAAACCAGATGTTCCGCATCACCACACGGCACTCCGGCGGCCCGCCAAATCGCTCCACTAGCGCATCTGCCTGCGCCTGCACCAGCAACTGGAGCGCCCTGAGGTACACTTGGGCCGTGTACTTGAACCTGGCCATAACTGGCGGCTGGTCATAGGGCACCAGCTCTATGACGCGGCTATTCGCGGCGGCGGCCGCAGCAGCTGCCGCGGCAGCAGCAGCGGCTGCGGCTGCCTCAGCCCTATGGCGCTCCTCGTCCATAGCTTTTTGCTCCTGCAGGGTCGCTGCGCTAACGCCCGCACCGCGGTGTTGCCGGCGGGCGAAGGTGACCATTTCAAACGCCTCATCCTCAACCTCCACCAGCTTCGGGAAACAACGTATTGGATCCCATATGAGGCGGCGGAAAGCGGTAGGTTGGTTGGGCGATCAAGGGATGCAAAATGGGGGGTGTGAACGCCACACACGCGTCACCTTGAGGAGCGGCGTACGCCGATCGCGCGAAAACCAAACGCCCCAAAAACGGGTTTCAATTACAAACGCAGAGCCTGACGCTCAGGGGCATGTGCCAAGGCCAAAAAAGTGGAGTAGAGCTTTTACCGAAAGTCGCCCCGCCTCCCGTCCAGACGCTCCCAACGACGTAGACACCACCCAGCTGCGTATCTCTCACCTGTGATTGTTGACCGCATACATTGCACACGTAGACGGAGTTGACCACGGAAAGGCTCGTCGATTGACACCCGGAGCAGAAAAGCGGCATTTAACCCGGTCAGTGGTCAAGCTTATCAATCCCGCAAAGCGTCTTGCGCTCGATCCAGGGCATGTTTCATGCATCCATTCCCGTTTCGGTGGACAGATACGGGGTTCGTGACCAGCGATGGTTAAATGGTGTCGGGTACATCATACTGCAAGATTGACAAAAAAAGAAACCCTAACGTGGTGATCTTAATGAGTGAACATCATTTAAGGCCGTGATGACGGGTCATGAAGGAACAACCCGCCAAGGACACAGATGAATAACATGTGCGAGCCCCTATTTACTAAGAGTTGCTGCTGATTTGACTGTACCCAAAATGTTCATGGTGTGGTAATCGCAGCGTGGTGGCACTACGGCTTCAGAGGGTGGAACCGAGCCCCGCTCCAGTGGTTTCGCGCAGATGGCGGGCCGATGCAGGGGTAACGTTTGGACCCACGCATATCATACAGACCATTGCGAAAAATTATAATGAATGACAACTACCATGGCCCTTGAGGCATCAGCGCTGCATGGAGCATTGGAGCTCATAGGTCAACTTAGACGAACTTTGACGTTCAACGATGGTGCAAGTCCTTTGATAGATATAAGCTACCAGCAACACGTTTCACTCCGTGTCTGTCCTCTCAATACCACAAAGGGCACTTGGCGCAGGATGACACCTTTCATCCAACATCCCGGTGTTTCGGCCGAGCCTGTTTCGTTCAGAGGGTTGCAAAGGAGGTCTAATCCCCCAATCCTGGGGATGGGTACTGGTCAGCCATCCTCCCATCCTGGCAGGGGCAACCGTCCCCCATCCCCCATCGTAAGGGCCGGTGCTAATCCCATACATCCGACAGGGTTCATATCCTCACCCTACAGCTGGAACCCCCAATCCCATCCTGCCAGCCAGGGTCCCATCCCCATCCCTTGAGCTGGTGCCACAACCCTCATCCTGAGATGCCAGCTGCAAACCTAATTCTTACACAGGTGCTGTAAACTTAATCCTGTAACGTGTCTCATCCTTCTTGAGTCAGGTGTAACTTTTAACCAGGCTGGGCTGGCCAGGTAGTATGAAAAACGGAGTCCTGTACATTGCACATAGAACGGAGTCCTGTACATTACACTGCCCTTTTCGGGAGCCGCAGCCGTCATGTGGCCAACACATCCTAAGGTTTTCATTCCTCGTTTAGCACATCGTAAGCTAATGCAGTTTCGTTTATGTTGCTGGGCTTTGGAGGCAAGCAGAGCACGAAGGGGAAAGTACCATGTCCCCATTGGCCAGCGGTTTTGCCGCTGTTGTGGTACTAATAGCCGAATCGAGGATGAAAAACACGTGTTATTGGAATGCCCAGCCTAAAATGATATTCGTACTGAAGAGGGATTCGATCATCAACAGAGCATGTTGGAGGCCATGAAATGGGAACCAGTAAGTCTGGCGAGGATGTTGGAACGTATGTGGGCTCACCGAAACTCAGTTACCCCTTTGGACGCTAGTCTGGGCTGATGTGCGGTGTTTCCTGTTCTCCGTGGCTTTTACGCGTATAGATATTGCCCTTGGGCCTTCGGCTCGTATGGGTAGTTTTACCGGTATGGGGTCACGCACCCCCAACCATGTAACACACACACACACACACACACACACATAGAACACCCGTAAAATTTCGCAGGGGTATTGCACACATGCACAACGACGACGTTAGCCTTCTGGCAACAACACCGGGACGCATGGGGGAGTTGCTCAACATTGACATGTTCTGTGAGGATTTTGGGATGCGCCCAAATGTGTCGAAATGTGAACGCCTCGTTTTTGCAAGCGACAGCGATACTAGGAGTGCTGTCCAAGCATCGTGTGATGAGCTCAGGCTGGCTGGAGAGGCCATACCGGCTAAGGATAGTGCACGATATCTGGGGTTAGTGTATGGGCCGGAACGGCAGTTCTGGGCCTGCCGTCAGCAGTTGTATGACACAGCTAGAGCAGCTATGTTCGCGTTGAGTGCAAAATTAGTTAAGCTAAAGTTGTTCGCCCCAGATGTGAGGATGAGGTGTTTTGATACGCAGGTACGAGCAATACTGTTGTATGGTTGTCAAGCGTGGGGGCCGTTTATGCTAGCTGAGGTCTCGGACAGGCTCAGGAAGCGGAGTGATGCGAATAACCTTGCAGAGGGGCCTTTCGAGGCATGCCTAAAGGACAGGGCAGTGCAGCTTCAGATATCTTTCATGCGGCAAATTGTAGGAGCTGCCAGACCAACACACCGCCTCCTGTTCGCAGAGCTATCGCAGCCACCCCTACACTACCACGTTCTCAAGCAGGTTGTGAGGTTTTGGAACCATGTCCGTTTACAGCGTGGTTCTGTGGCATACCAAGTTTTGCGACAGGAGGTCGCAGAATCCCTCTCCAACCCCGAAGGGGCCGGATGGGGGACACTACTCCTCCGTTTTCTATGTTTTTTGGGGCACGATGTATGGAAAGAGGTCCCGCAAGGGCTACACGAGGTAGACGAACGAGTGGAGTGGCTGATCAACAGGCCAATGCCAGAAGGTGTGATTTTGGAGTTCAAGGACCGATTAATGAGTGGTTGGAAGCATACACGTTTAGATGTCCAGCCTGACGTGTATCCGTCAGACAGCAAGCAACCAGGAATCCACATGGCGAAGTATAAGCATTGGATGGGGCTGGCGGCCGAGCAAGCGGGCAGGAAGGAGGTGCTCCCGCACATCACAATGTTTATCCCACGTTCGGCGAATCGCAAGCTTATGCAGTTTAGGCTTTGCTGTTGGGCACTGGCGGCTAACAGAGCGCGTAAGGGACGGCGTTATATACCTAGGGAGGAGCGAGTATGCCCTTGCTGCGGCACTGATAGCCACATCGAGGATGAGAAACACATTTTGCTGGACTGTCCGGTTTACGACGAAATCAGATCTGATATGGGCTTTCCATGCTTCGAACATATGAAGGACGCTATGAAGTGGGAACCTGAACGCCTGGCAAGGATGCTGGAACGTATATGGTCTCACCGCAACTCTATCGTTCCCTTTGGCCGTTAATATACTTCATCACTTGTCTCGTTAGAAGTGCGAGGTAGGATGGTGCTTATAGGCGATTTGGCAGCCCTTGAGCCCTCGGCTCGTACTAGGGTGGTTTGCAGGTACGGGGAACGCACCCACGACCATGTAACAACAACAACAACATGCACAACACTGTGCGATCTATACGGCACTTGCCCGCCACTGTACGGCAGCTACACTTGACCTCTTAAATTACAGTTCTGTAGCGAGTTTCTGGGCCGTCCCCAACAATGGGCCACCACCCATATTCAGATGCATATGTTAGTGCGAGCAGCATTGGCAAACTTGCTCACACGCACTGCTGAGACAGTATTACTTGCCAAGAATCAAGCACCCGCAGGAGGCACCACGAACCAAATTGGGACATATGCACCCTTATACAGTCAAACACATGCTGGGCCTTATTCATGCATGATAGCAAAATTGATGTGATCATGCATTAAACAGACCTTTCGTATGTTTAACAGACAACCCTCTCTGCCCAGTCTATGTTGCAGAGTCGCAAGCAGAGTTTGTCCCAGCGCCGCGGCAAGCAGAGTTAACACGCAACTCGAGCTTGCATTGGCGAGGCTGAACTGGTTTAGGTGCGAACATCAGCCCCTCCTGTGCCAAGGACGCCTGAATCGGAGCCTGCATGGCCCGGTCCTCTCCGACCAGCACCCTCTCGTCCAAAACGAACTTATGCGTCTCAGAGTAATCCCGCAGGTGGGCGAGTGTGTAGCGGGATTACAATTAAAGCATGTCCAAGGCTGAGGATGCCTCACTGTCATGATGGTGCAAACTATTGCACCCAAGAAGCCCAGGCACCTTGACCCGTCCTCTTTATCCGAAGCAGATTGAAGCGACAAACACTCTTTGAAGCGGATCTCGGCCGAGGGGGAACTCGCTGCATATAAGTCTATGTATCTGTTTGCACACTGGCTGTTAATGCACATAGCGCGTCCTAACGGAGGAAGGAGAGTTATGTTGGATGGATGACCACAACAACAAATCATGATGCTGCGGTTAGTATGGCAGAACAAACAAGGGTTTTCTGTCAAAATGTCCATGGCTGGAAACGCGGGCTGATGATGAAAAGGGAACGGGTGGACCAATGGTTCACCCCCAGCACAGTCGGGCACCAATTGGATACGCCAAAGCGCTATGACAAACAGCCCGAGAAGCCAGGCGTTCCAGATGGAATGCTTTTGAGTCGACTTGGACACCGTTCCAACGGTCATCGTACCAACGGTACACCTAAGAACTAATCATAATCTTTGGCTTCGGGATGCGGTACGGCATGATGCGGCCAGTATGTGTGGTTCATATACCCCCCCTGGCGGACGGTGGGGCCGTCCATGGCGGACGGTCTGCCGGACGGTCGACCGTCCGGCACAGCTTTCCGGGCACACATACCAACACATACCAACATATTTCTGCACGAAGCAAAAGACATTTTGTTGTAGTTTATCCTGGTGCTCGCGGCGCGCGCGGGCGTGGAGCGCGCGCAGAGATTCCTTGCGCAAGCCGGCAGCACGGCACGCAAACTGCGTCCAGATGAGCCCTTTACCATTTGCAATTTGCTGAGCTTATAGTGAATTAAAGTTTTATAATCTTTTCATGGATAATGTAATGCAATGTGCTATACTGGGGGCTACATCGATGCAAGCGCTAGGAGCCAGCAAATGCATGAAATGTAAACAAAGCTAAAACTAGCATTCGGCTAAGTCAATTAGATGTAGGAGCATATTTATCTGGCGGTTTGGGGCCAGGCTTGGACCGCAGCCATGGGCGACCTGTGTGCCTGGGACCCTGTGTGCCTGGGAGCCTGTGTGCCTGTAAGCCTAGGATTCTAAAAGCCTGTGTGCCTGGGAACCTGGGAACGTGGGAGCGTGGGCGCCTGGGATTCTGTAAGCATGGGTTTCTGATAGCATGTTTACTTGGGAGCCTGGGATTCTGAGAGCCTGGGAATCTGGGAGCCTGGGGACCTGGGAGCGTGGGAGCTAGGGAACCTGGGAGCCTGGGATTCTGAGAGCCTGGGAACCTGGGAGCGTGGGGACCTGGCAGCCTGGGGACCTGGGAGCCTGGGGACCTGGGGACCTGGCAGCCTGGGGACCTGGCAGCCTGGGGACCTGGCAGCCTGGGGACCTGGCAGCCTGGGATTCTGAGAGCCTGGGGACCTGGGAGCCTGGGGACCTGGCAGCCTGGGGACCTGGCAGCCTGGGGACCTGGCAGCCTGGGATTCTGAGAGCCTGGGAATCTGGGAGCCTGGGGACCTGGCAGCCTGGGGACCTGGCAGCCTGGGGACCTGGCAGCCTGGGATTCTGAGAGCCTGGGAATCTGGGAGCCTGGGGACCTGGGAGTGTGGGAGCTAGGGAACCTGGGGACCTGGCATCCTGGGGACCTGGCAGCCTGGGATTCTGAGAGCCTGGGGACCTGGCAGCCTGGGGACCTGGCAGCCTGGGGACCTGGCAGCCTGGGGGCCTGGCAGCCTGGGGACCTGGCAGCCTGGGGGCCTGGCAGCCTGGGGGCCTGGCAGCCTGGGTGCCTGGCAGCCTGGGGGCCTGGCAGCCTGGGGACCTGGCAGCCTGGGGACCTGGCAGCCTGGGGGCCTGGCAGCCTGGGGACCTAGAGCCTGGGGGCCTGGGAGCCTGGGAACCTGGCAGCCTGAAAACCTGGCAGCCTGAAAACCTGGCAGCCTGGGAACCTGGCAGCCTGAAAACCTGGCAGCCTGGGAACCTAGCAGCCTGGGATTCTAAGAGCCTTTGTGCCTGGGAGCCTGGGAACCTGGCAACCTGGCAGCCTGGGATTCTAAGAGCCTGTGTGCCTGGGAGCCTATGTGCCTGGGAGCCTGGCAGCCTGGGATTCTGAGAGCTTGGGACCCCAGTCTTGAACGAAAGTTTGGTATGGCTTCGTTGGCCTGCCCGCCATGCGCTGTGTTGCACAGACAGGCTGGCAGGTGGAATGCAGGACAAGGGCGTAACCGGGTGCGGGGCGTGGTGCCGTGTTGGGTCTTGGGGACATGCGCAAGCTGTGCGCCAGCTCGGATGCCATACAATGGCCTCTTTCCACCGCCAAATGATCATTTACCCAGTAGAGCATTCATTGTGCCATTCAGAGCCGACAAAGGGATGGAACGACGTGTTGGGCGTGACGGTCAGTCTTTGCTGAATCCCTTTCACTAATGCCCAGTGCTTGTGGCCATTGCAATGACCTTATTGCATGATTCAATTGTTCCAGTGCGTTGGTGTTATTTAAGCAGGTTATATAAACAGGTCATTAGAATGTCCGCCGCGCGCCTTGGGATGTTGTCTTTTTCCTTTCGATTGCTTTCTCCTTTTATGCTAGAAGCCTTTTGACTATGTGCGTCACAATTTTGGGGTTAGTTTCTCCTGGCGAGTGTTTTGCGCGTTAATTGCTTGCCAAGGAGTGCAAGCTGGAGCATTAATTATTAGCGTCTCATGAATCATCTACATACAGATGTTTTGGGGCTTTGGACCATCGTTTCCATGACCGTCCGCTAGGCGAACGGGCAGGATGTACGGCGTTGCGGACAGGGGACCGTCCGCCGGCGGGGTATATGTAACAAAGCTCGGCAGTTGGCGAAGCAGTTACGAAGAGAATTGTCCAACGATAAAAGGTGGTATTGATAAATACCGTATGGTATTGGAAAGATTATGAATAGTTCTTGAATGTACCGTTGGTACGATGACCGTTGGCCCGGTGAGCCGAGCGCCGCCTTAGCGGCGTTACAGTATGTTAATACACCCCCAATAGAAACTGTATATTATACACAAAGTGTCCCAAACCCTGTTTAGAGCCCACCTTGTTTAGCGCAAGCCAGTAACAGCTCGGCGACCTATCATTATCTCCTCCATAATGGCATCTGTTGGCACATATGATGATGCCGTGGATGTGGATGTGCGTGGGCCGGACAAAGTAAGAACGGGATTGGACTGCGTCTGACTGCGGAGCTGGCACAGTGCACAATTGGTTCACTTCTCTCCTCATTTACACCAAGTCGCTTTCCGTGCCTGTTCCATGCCCAGTGGTTAACCTTCTGCAGAAGCGTCAAAAGCTGGACAAATTGGCGGAGCTTGGCTTCGCAGAGGACATGGCTGAAGTCCTCGTGGAAACACTTGGACTGGACCCCATCGGGAAGTCGACCGATGCCGCCATTGCTGAAGCAATGGCTGGAGAAGGCTTGGTGGACTTGGCGTCAGTGATAGTCGTGGCTGGCGGTAAGAACCACATCAGCCTCGAATTGGTTTCACTCAGGACTGCACAACCACTCCAGGGTATACTTTATCCGACTTGTGCACTCTTTGCAATGTTTCGTGTTTTGGGTTGACACTTACGCCCATACCTTAGGAGGTTTGGGACCCTGGCAGGTAACAGACTTTGAGAGCTGCTGCCTGTGACACCGGCTCTATTCGGTTTTGTATTGTACGAAAGGTGCCAACTGCTGTTTTGTCACCGCCTGCTTTCTACCTTCCTTGCTGACACAGAGGTCGACGACAATGCACCCCTGTCGGATGTGAATGCCCGGACGGCAGTCAAATCGCTGAGGATCCTCGCCCCGAACCTGGGAGCTGCTAAGGCCCTCCAGCTTGCCAAAGCAGCATGTGCCCTCACTGCACAGCCGTCTGACGAGTCGGACGAGGGCCTGTCACCATTGCTGGACCCACTGGAGCAGGAGCGCAAGACTAACGAAGAGATGGCGAAGGCGCTCGTGGTAAGTCTATACAAGGCCATCCGCGTGTATGCTGCAACCCGGATTGCTTTAGGCACAGGAGGGTGTCGGGCCTGATGTAAGGCATCACGGCGGGACCTTGCAGGGTTGTCATATTGCAGCCATGCCTGTGGCATCAGATGGTGCGGCTACAACAGCTGAACCCGCTAAGACATCATCAGCCAGAGACCCCTTGACCTCCCTTAGACATTCACGTACAAGTCGGCCACTGACACGTGCACTTTCCAGTCCACCAGCCCGTTATAGTGCCAGCACCCATGCCCTCAGCTGGACATCAGGATGACAGCCCACCAATGGCCGCACCTGCCTCTCATTGCTTGGGCGGGCTACATCTGCCGGGAGGTTTCGTATGACGTGTGCCGCTGCAATCAGGCCTTTGAGCAAGTCGTTTTGCAGAAGCAACAAGTGATGATCTTGTGCTTCTTATGGCAGTTGGGGCAGCACACCCACCGTTCAGGAACCCCATCTTTGCCAACCGAGTGTGCACCCGGCTCCTTCTCCTCCTCCTCCATGCCCTCAGACTCTGAGTCGATGGCCATCTCATTGCCGTCCCCTGTCATATCATCACTGGCTGAGCCCTGTGCCGTGCCCACTGCTGACGGCCCTGCAATGGCCATGTCGGCTTGCAGCTGGGGTGCCGTGGTATTAGGCCATTCAGCTGCAGCTGTGGCACGTGCTGCAGCAGCAGCCTCCATGTGCTCAGCCTCAGTGCTGTCCAGCAACCAGCAGTGGCTCAGCCTTCGGGTGAAGGACTGGAACTGCATACAGGCAGAGTCGCACTCCAGCAATGGGCTTGGGGAGCCAGCTGAAGTGGCCAGCCCTGCTGTGTGCCAACAGGTGTAGCCAGTGCATATTCTCAATATGCGTCTTTGACTTCACGTGAGCCCGGATATTGGCAAGCGGGCTCTTTGAACTAGCACTGGGCATCCAGCCTGCGAGTCCATTGAAGAATTTGTGCTGAGCTACATCCTCACTGGGCTCAGGGCCATTCAAGTACACCGCAAGCAGTGGAGGCGGAGGGGGTAACACCTGCCTGCTGCTGTTTTCACCAGCCTTGCTTCCGTAAACCACTGCTGCTGCTGCCGTGGTGAGCACCGCCGCTTCTGCCACCCTTGGCTTTAGCTGCACCACCAACTCGCGTGGTGTCAGCAGTGTTTACGGCTGCCGCCTTATGCATGGTGGCGGCAATCCCATGCAATGCCCTGTTGCATGCGTCCCAAAGCTTGCCGTTGATGCTGTCTGAAGCAGGAACAAGCTTTGGTGGCTGTGTTGGCCACAAGGCATAGTTGCATGCCATGCAGTAGGTGAAACCCGGATGAGGCTGGTTGCCAGGGTACATTCTGACAGAGCCGTCTTGGTTTGAGTCCACAATGATGAAGGACTTCCAATACCCTGCTATGTCAAAGGTAATCACTAGTGATACAGTACTGTATTCCCCAGCACCTCATTGGCAACCAGGTCGGCCTGTAAGCAATTAACACCAAGGCCATGCATGTCAAAAAACCCGCATTCTGTTGTATATCGCTGGTTGCCAATGAGGTGCTGGGGAATACGGTGATTACCTTTGACATAGCAGGGTATCTGAAGTCCTTCAGCATTGTGGACTCCAACCAAGACGGCTCTGTCAGAACATACCCTGGCAACCAGCCTCATCCGGGTTTCACTTACTGCATGGCATGCAACTATGCCTTGTGGCCAACACAGCCACCACCAAAGCTTGTTCCTGCTTCAGACAGTATCAGCAGCAAGCTCTGGGACACATGTGATAGGGCATGCGTGGGATTGCTGCCACAATGGCAGCCATAAACACTGCTGACACCACATGTATTGGTGGTGCAGCTAAAGGCAGTGCAGCTAAAGGCGGTCATTCATCATTGTGGACCATGATGGCTCTGTGAGAACATACCCAGGCAACCAGCCTCATGTGGTTTTCATGTACTGCATGGCGTGCATGGTTTGTGGCCAACACAGCCACCACCAAAGTTTGATAGCAGCAACGGCAAGCTCTGGGACGCCACAAGGACTAACATGGCGGCCACACGTGTTGGTGGCAGAAGCAGTGGTGCACATCATGACAGCAACTGCAGGAAGCACGACTGTACTGATAGTGAAACCGGCAGTGGGCAGGTGTCACCCCCTCCATCTCCACTGCCTGCGGTGTGCTTGAATGGCCCTGAGCCCGTTGAGGATGTAGCTCAGCACAAATTCTCCAATGGACTCGCAGGCTGGATGCCCAGTGCTAGTTCAAAGAGCCCGCTTGCCATCCGGGCTCATGTGAAGTCAAAGATGCATATTGAGAATATGCACTGGCCTGTTGGCACACAGCAGGGCTGGCCACTTCAGCTGGCTCCCCAAGCCCATTGCTGGAGTGCGAGTCTGTCCATATGCAGTTCCACTCCTTGTCCCCAAGGCTGAGCCACTGCTGGTTGCTGGACAGCACTGAGGCTGAGCACATGGAGGCTGCTGCTGCAGCACGTGCTGCAGCTGAATGGCCTAATACCACGGCACCCCAGGCATTGCAGGGATGGTGATGATATGACGGGACGGTGATGAGGTAGGCCACCGACCCAGAGTCTCAGGGCATGGACGAGGAGTAGAGGGTGGGAATGGGTGTGCACACCATTGACACCTTGTGCAAAGTGGCTGCATCCATGGCCGCCCCAAGCAGCTCGTGATCTACTGCAAGCAGCACAACGAGGACTATCATAGTGAATTGGACATCTAACATGCCAAGAATGCTGTCATGTGCACCCAATCATCGCCTTTGCATTATACAATTCTGGAATGTTATGAAAAGGGGACGCTGGCTGTCTTGCACTGTGGGTTTGCAGGGCTTCCTTGGGCAGAGCTGGTACAGGAGAAGGCAATGCATTGGCTTCTGCAGAGCGACGTGTGGCCATGGCTGCTGCGGGGCTTTTTGCAGAGGCAAGTCTAGCACTGTTGAATATCGCCGAGGGGAAGCTGTACAGGATTGTGGGGCATGCAAGGTACTTGGTACAGTTCTTCAGCAGTGCTTGGGTCTGGCTTACACCAGGCCAGGAACCTGATTGCAGCGACACTTCATACGAAACCCCCCAGCAGGTGTAGTCTACCCAAACTTTGAGTGGCAGGTGTGACCATTGGTGGGCTGTCATCCTGATGTTCAGCTGAGGGCATGGGTGCTGGCACTAGAAGGGGCTGGTGGACTGGAAAGTGCACGTGTCAGTGACCGACTAGTACATGCATGTTTTAAGGGAGGTTAAGGGGTCTCTGTACAATGAGGCGGTGGATGGAATGGCAGAGGGCAATGCATGGCGAGGAAATGTGTTTTTCTCAACCCTGTTTTTTTTATGTAAAGGACAGAGCCTCCAAGGGCTATTTTTTGCAAGATGCATGCGGGAGTATCAGGCGGGGAATGTGAGACGGGCTGCGGTGCTATTGGAGGCAGGTATAGGCTATAGCTGGTTCAATGATGTGCTGAACTGTCCAGTGTGCTTTCTCCGGGAGCGCCTTTCGTTTGTCTGGCAGGTGGGCACAAGTGATGAGCTTCAATGGGGAGCCAGTGTGCAGAATCCACATGGCAGTGTCATTGCATGTATGGGCCCTGTCATTGAAAGGTTCGTCACCTTGTTTAGTCGCTTTGGGAGCATGCCAGGCATGAACTCGTGGGCACATGTCAGCCCTGTCCCTCCAACAGTGAGGGGTGAGGAGGGCAGTAACCCTGCATGAATTAAATAAGTAAAGCCCTCGTTTGATGTGTTGTTTGCATTGAGTGCCAGCCATATGGTGTGAAGCAAAAATGCATGGATGACTCCGATGTTAGACTCCCCAGTCTAGATTCTGTGCTGGCAACTCCTAGAACTTCCTTGTGTTTGAGTTTGGTTTGCTATGGGACGCGACTTATAAGCAAAGGTCTAAGTAATGCATGACGGCCTGTGAGATGGCTGATGTTGATGCATGCACTGTGATGGTGTAGCAGCCGGTACACAGTACGGCACTATAAATACGCGTGTAGCGCGACCACCAGCATCTCGAGAGGCCTTTTCAGCGGCCAGCTGCTACAGATGGCCAGGCTTTTGGCAGAGGGGAGTGTGTGCAGCCTGCAGGGGCTGCTTTTGGTGAGATGTGCGCATGTGTGTCAAGTGGGGAATGTGAGGCCCGTTGTGGTGCTGGTGGAGATGGGCATGGGCTATACCTGGACAGCTGATTATGGTGCTGTTGGGCAGGGGTGCCTTGCTTTGTGAAGACATCTCTCGGTGTTTGGTTTACCATATTGCTGACTGACCCATGAGTTGAAGTGTGTGAGAACAAATCGACCATCACTAAGTGCATGTTTGGTCTGTTGCAGTCCTGTCAGTATTCCCCATTCTGCACCTGCAGCCTCCTCTTACAGCAAAACCCCATCCTAATCCTCCAGCTGTGTTCCCAATCCTCATCTTGTGGCAGCAAGCCCATCCTAAACCTGCGTCAGCCTGCAATCCCCATCCTGGTCAGCCAGGATCCCATCCCTATTCTTGGCCAGGGTTCCCAATCCCATCCTTGGTCAAGGTTTCAATCCCCATCCCTCCGACAGGGCTTCCATCCCCAGCCCCATCCTCACCCCGACAGCAATCCCCATCCTAAAAGTAGTGTAGCAATCCTAATCCTTGCCCTGGCCCCTAAACCCAATCCTGACGTCGTGACCCTATTACCATCCCGCTTGACCAGTACCTGGCCCCAATCCCAACCCTCTGTTTCGTTGATGACCTCGGTGGGTTTCATAACGCGAACTGGGTACGAAAACGGATCTGTTTGTATTCGTAAGTTTGGCTATGCAGACAAAGCAACTGAACTGGCCTATGGGCTATGTAGATTGCCCTTAGCTTCTATTACCTCAGCTTCTAAAATCCTTCTATTATAAGCTTCTACTAATATCTTTCAAACCATTACAAACAAAAAGGCAACAGTTGACCCATTATGTGGAACCAATCGTTGGTGCTGGCTCGACTTGGTGATGCTTCGCCTGCTGGATGCACGGAGAGGGAAAAGGATGTACAGACAGACCGAGCAACCTAAGGTCGGGAACTAAGGGAAATCCCAAAGCATGAGGACCCCAAAACCCTACGAGCACTGCTCGGCGTCTGCCCCCCGCGTCCCGTAGTCCAGGGGTTACAAAAGCCCCAGGCACAGCAGCTCCCGTATGGGTCAGTCTCGGCAGGGCACGGTAATGATGTGCTTTCCTCGGACTTGTAACATACAACCTCGTCCAGCCATGCTGGTATCCATGCATAGGCCGTGACAATCCTATGTTTTTATAAAGATCGCGAGGGACACAGAGAACTCGACAGATGGATCTGACGTGATCTATGCGCAGTGCTGCACTGGGCCGGATGAATCGTTCACTGGTGTCCATGGCCCGGCGAGTCATGCCCGCTTCTTTGACTGTAATGGGCCAGAAAGCCGCCATGTCGCCTCCTCTAACGGCAGCAGATTGCAGCAGGTGATTAGCTGGGGTCTTAAGGGGATGCCCCCGTGCTAATCCCCTCATACTCTGGGATGTTGGAAATAATAAGCCAATAAGCTGCCTTGGGCATATCAGCACACAGTGGCGCCTGCAGGTATTTGCCGCTTGGTGGGGCTGAAGAGAAGTGGATATAGACCTTCTAGCTTGGATATATGTACGGCAGCCGTACAGCTTGCTATTTTAAATTTGTGTTCCTTTAGCTCAAAAGCTTCATAGTCCCGGCAACCTGCCTCTCAGCACTATTGGAGCTTACTGCTCCTCTCGCTTTCCTCCCTCATGTCCGCAGCGTCCCCGTCCCAGCTTGGGACATGGAGACTGGGCAGCTCACTCGGAACACCAGGCACGCGAAGATCTAACACTGTACAGCGATCTTGCACGACCGTAACGCTAATAGAGTATCGTCGCGTGGTAGGAGTTCGCCTAGCCGGCCCTGCTTGGCGCCTGGCGCTTGGCGCACGCGCGCCAGCAGTCTGCAGTGGTGTAAGGTTCTTGACAGACCCGGTTTCGCCCTTGATCTCTTTCTGTCCGTCATCTAAACGGTGCACACATTACAGCAAGCCGTGAAGGCCAATGAGTCCCTGGGGCCTGGGGCCTACACGGATTTCGCGGAACTTCTTACACGCGCAAACTTTTTGGCATCAGTGCATATCGCTTGGATTGTGTTGAATTTAGTGGGAAGGTGAACAATTAAGTGACTGTTCGCAGAATTAAGGCATGGACCGTGCAGTACCGTGCAGATTCTGGGCTGTTTCCACGGAGCAAGGTGCCAACAGTGCGATTCTGGGTTGTTCCCATGGTTGATCACGATGATAATACCTAAAAACATGAACATACATGGACGTTCGTCTTGCGGGAAGCCTGCTTAGCCGCAAAAGGTCGCTTGGCTAATCTGATAACTATCAGGCAAAGCAATTTGCAGCTGATACACATGCGGTAATAACCACTGCGTTGTGTTATTGTCGATTCTTAAGCACCAGGGCATTTATCGATGAAGCCTGGGTTTTGGGCTTGTGTCACGTGATGCTAACTAATCAACTAGGTTCAGGTCTTCGGCAGAGTCCTTTGTAACTTAGGCCAGAAAAATTTCAACCTGGTGGCTACGAAGCTGCAAACAACCCGGTTACCCTGATTAAAGTCCCTCGTACGGATGGGTTACTAGTGCGCTCACATTTCGGTTCGTTGGACATCGGTGCTTACTTCACGCATCATTACTCCCTCCATACGAAAGTTATTTGATTGTGTACTTATACCCTTAATTCTCTTACCGACCAGTAGGTGTCCATGAGGTGCGACGTATTGCAGCCTATTTTTGTTCTGCCTGTAGCCCTTGTGCTCGCTGATAGCGCATGGAGCGCTTGCACGGGGCGCGCTCAGCACATGAATTTGATGTATACATAATGGCAATGCAAATCTGACAATTAGCGCTCGACGCCTAAGGGCCATGCCGGCGAATCGCGACCTAAAGTGCAGCTTGCGCTCCGCGATGAGCTGCTGCTTTGGCAGCAGACATCATGATCTTGATGCAAGTACAACATCAGCCCTGAACCTGAATTCTTGTGGATTTGTTTCCCCTATAACGCCTGGATTGGCGTCGGTCAGGGCGTTCGGAGTCCGTCCAGACGGGCCATGCTTACCCGAATCATTTTCAGATAAGGTTCATGGCACGAAAGGAAGGACGTCAAATTCATCTTATGCAACGTCGCTGACAGTTCGCTCTCCGACGGCAGCGGTCGCATCTGTTCCAGCGGCCAAAATACAAGGCCTCACTAACGGCGGCGCGACATCCTCCTTTGGATCTATTTTCGATCGGCACAGAGCCGCAATCAGTTCTCTGGGAAGAACAGTGTTCCCCTCTGACACATCTAGCTTTAAAGATGCCATGCAGCAAACTGAGCTTGCCTATTTGGCTTCACCTCAGCGGCTGTTGGAGATGAGGTCCCAGGTATGTCATCTACAACTTCTGGGTCGCGGTGGCCAGGCCGTGGTGCTTCGCGGTGTGTGGCAGCTGGCAGAGGTAGCAGTCAAACTCGCGGTCGCCAACCCTGCCACAACCCCCGCCTCCGCGTTCACCAAGCTGCTGCTCGAGGGCCCGCTCAGCAAGCGACTGCGCGCACCCAACGTGGTGGAGACCTACTGCTATAGCTGCACCCGGCTAACATTAGAAGACCTACAAGCATGCCACGCTGCAGACGACAACAAAACCGCAGCCGGACCGGCCGACGTGGCCAGCTGCCTGGACACCAGCGACACATCCGATGACAATCCCATACTGAATTCAATCCTCGGCCAGCAGATGCAGCCCCTTTCCCGCCCATCCATTTCCGGTGCCGGTGCCGGTGGCCACGGCGTGGGGCCACCTGGCGCCATGTATTGGTTGCGGGGCTCGTTCGACAGCCTCGATGGCTTTGGCAATCCCAGCGGATTGAGATCCTCGGCATCTGTAATTCCGTACTCGGACGCGCTTAGCTTGGTGGGCGGCGCCCCGGGTTGCTTCCTTACGCAGATAGTCATGGAGTGAGTTGCGTTATTAGGGGGGGTTTATAGGGGTGTTAGGGGCGTCTGTACTTGAGGGGCGCCATGTAGCGCTTTACCGCGCAAGGCGGTTAGGTCATATGGCTCATGGGCTGCCTACCAGCCGAATGGGGCAGACTGTTTTTTAAATCATAGGTTTTTATGATTTTGGATCACTTGGTCATCGTATCAGCAGCTCACTCAGCACACCCCAATGCTGGAATAGTGCACGGTTTTCATCGCGATTGACACCATTAGCATAGCAGTATGCTGCATGGCTGCTCCGCACCTATGTGTCCAAATCGTGCTACACTGCTGGCACACATATAGCAATACGCGCATAGTGCAATAGTGCAGTAGTGCAGTGCGCATGTGCGCACACACAGCTCCTCATCATGACCACCCGCATCCTTTCCGCGCACCCGGGAACCGCCTCGCCTGCGGAAGGACAGGTTCTGCGACCAAGGCTCACTGGCGGATGCGGTCTCCAGAGGCGCGTACGGGAAGGCTGCACACGACAGGTAACCAGTAGATGAAGACCTGTGGGAAAGCGGACCGGACCCAGCCGCCCGTGGGAGGAGAAATGGCTCGAGCGGGAAAGTGGGAGGGACGCATGTTTGGAAAGGCTTCACGTAATGCGGTTTTGAGGCGCAAACGGGTTGGTCGACTGGTTGTTATCCAATGCTCTCCCCCCATCACTCAATCATCACTCACACACACACAAACGCACACTCGCACGTTCCCAGTTAAGCAAATATAGGTGGCAGCTAAGCCGTACGGGCATATTTAAATCGAATGCTATTCAACCTATCTGTTGCTGACGCTGTTGCGTGATGGCTCGTGTTACAGGGTGGCGCTGTTCGCGTACATCCGTACGCTGTACGACATAGCTGCGGGCATGTCGTATCTTCACTCTAATGGCGTCATACACGGCGGTAAGGTGGTCTGCCGTCGTCTAAGAAACTGCTATGCGGGTTATGCGGGGAGCTCTTTGTTAGTTTTTGTTGAAAGGGAGCCAATTCCTTGAAATGGCAGTTGGGAAATGCACCAAGGGGAAATTGTTTCCCGCCGTTTTCATGGACAGTGTCGATGGGCACCGGCAATTCTCCCGCAACTTCCCGCAATGAACCGTCGCCCCTATCAGCCACCTAGCCACCTCTCCCCTGCGCGCATCGCATCCGGATTGCGGGCGATTCATCCCTCCATCGGAGGGGTCGGATCACGACGCATGTTGCCAAGACACACAGTAAACAACACACATAGCTCATGGTTGTGAGACGCGTAGCACACATGCCCATAGACAGGTCCACAATTTCAGCGACCACAGCTACCACAATCCGCAGCCATTGCGCCTAACCCTCTCTTCGCCCCTCTCTTTCGCCGCCCCGGGGCCCCGGCTGCTCAGATCTCAAGCCCGGCAACGTCCTGCTGCGATCCAGTCGCGCCGACCCGCGAGGCTATCAGGCCAAGCTGTCAGACTTCGGACTAGCACACTGTACTGGAGGGAACGATAACGACTTCACCACCACCCAAGCTGACTGGTCGTCCCATCCTTACATGGCGCCAGGTACGACCCGCTGTACGAGCAACGGTACACGGTATAACTGAGCCGTGGCTTTTTCCACCCTTATTGTGCGATGATTTCAGTGGCGGGACAGGTGATCTTTCCAGGCTATGGGATGCCGGCCGCCGGGCCCCACAAAGCACCTTTAGCCCTTCCGGTCCTACCTCTTGCCCTTCTGGTCCTTCAGAGCACTTCGACGGGTGTTTGTTTTTGTCCAGCGACGTGTGGAGCTTCGCCGCCACCGCACACCACATGTGGACGGGCCGCCTACCGCACGCGGGGCTGCACCCGCTGCAAGTGTGCGCCGGGGTGTGTGACGGCAGCTTGCGTCTGGAAGCGCCGCCCGGTATGCCACCGCAGCTGTGGCGGCTGCTGCAAGCCTGTATGGCGCAGCAGTGGAGGCGGAGGCCAACCTTCCCGCAGATTCGCAGGGCGCTGGCCAGGATGGAAGCAAAATGGTGTGGCAAGTAAGGCAGCAGCGCGGGCTAGGTCTTGGTGGACACTATGTGCGGCGAGAGCTGCTGCGGCCTAAAGGATGACATTGGGCACCGCGGGAAGCGGTGGTGAGCCGCTGGGAGGTAAATTTGTGGGCGCATGCACCGCTGTATCCTGCATTGCTTCATGCCTGGCATTGTGCTGTGTAAATCTGTGTCTCTGTATTTAGCATGTTTCGCGGGGTTACCCCACGCGCTTCTAAACTTGTTTAGCCGTCACACACATACGAAAGAAGAGGTCGGCATTTTATCCGCATGAAAATAAATGCTGCCATGTGTCGTGTACAAAATTCGGAGGGCAGAGAGCATGGACAGTAATACGCGCATTATTCCGCCTTTTTTGCAAGTTTGAGAAGCGTCGGCGTCGGAGCCCGTGTGATGCTCCGGTGGCCTCTCGGCTCTTGTGATTGGAGCCCTACATCATCGAGAAAAGGGTTGACTTCATCATTCATTATCGCGTCGTCATTGTCGTGATCATCATTGTTGTCATTCTTACTCCGGTTGTGTATGGCCGCATCATGCCTGCTGCTTACTGGAGATGGGAATGCCTTCCGAGAGCAGAGTGCTCTTGCTTAGGGCTGCTTATGGCCGCTAGGATGTGGGGATGTGCGCGTATGTGTGATTCCACGGCCGTGGGGTAACATAGCCACTTTCATGTCGCCTGTTTGCATAATTTGGTTCCTTCCCTCCTATCATCCATCTTATCTGGTCGCGTGGTTCTTGCAGTCGCGTTTTTCAGGAAGCATGAGATTGCTCTTAGTTGGCCGCCTCGTTGGGGCCCTTGTGTTGAGGCTGCATAGGTGCTTTGGGTGCACACGGCAGGTTGCGAATGTGCTGCGTTAGCGCTCACGCAATTGTTCGGAGGATTGGAAAGCGGCTTGAGGCCAGGAGTCGATGCAGAAGGGTAATGGAGGGTACGAGGCTGCAACTTTGGTTTTTCAGCACTTTGACGGACTGGTGAGCGCGGAGGGCGGAGGATTCAGCCGGTAGTAAGGGTGTGACCCTCTCTTCCTCATCGCTGTGCTGGGACTGCAACCTCGTGCGTGGGAGTGCGGAGGGGGCAGCCGTCCACTAGGGGGTGGCTGCCCCACGGGGTGCTGAGCTCGTGGTGATGCCCTGAAATAGCTGCAGTAGATGCGGGCATTACTTAATCATAATTTCTTCGCTGTGAATGAGATATGAAATGTCTTTAGCGATTAAATAACATTGCTCGACTGTAGAATATCCTTACCATCGCTCACCTGCCTGTTGAGGGAAGATCCTTAGCGAGGCGAGGCGAGGCGAGAACTCGTGTGTGCCGTGGGCAGTGGCCTTGACACATAATTGGAGAGGAGTAACCAAACGTAGTTTGGTGTGCTCGGGGATTGAATTAGTTCGCCTTGGATACCTTCGGATCTGTCTTGAAGACCTGGGGGGGCTGTCAGCCCCCTTACTCCGGGTTTGGGAAGCGATCAGTCCCACCCGAAAGAACTGGGGTCTACTTCAACCTTTCTCCCGCCACTGTCCATGTCCGGCTCGCCTCTGCCAAATGCAAAGACGGGCTGGTGCAAATATAGTGGCACCTTTCGCAGCACGTCGCTTTCTTGCCGCTTGGCTCGCACGGCGTGCCGCCTCCAAAGGCGTGGGGCCGCCGTGGGGTGATTTGTCCATAGTGTCGTATATTTGCTCTCTTTATTAGGCGGGAAGCGTACATGCCACCATTTTCCTGCGCCGGCAGTTGCTTTCGGGATGTGGCGGTGGTGCGGTGCTGAGGAGTTGAGTTGAAGTGGTGGAAGAAGTTCACCGCCGTATGCTGCATCGTGTTTGCTCAAACCCCATGTCGCAAATGAATTATCCTGTTTGTTTCCTTCATTCTAGGATTTGTGTGCGACGTCTTCATCTTTTGATTTGTACACTGCGAGAGCTGCTGGCAGCAGCAAGCAGCAGCCGGCCTTGACGGACTCGATTTCCAAACTGCTCGTATGGACTGCGCAGGCGAGCGTGTAGGAGTCCAGCCGAAGGGCCAAGCACTTCACAGAACCATCGCAGTGCCTTAGTTGGCCTTTGGCGCACATGTTGTCTTTGCCTGTGCATCCTCATTATCACCGTAGGGATCTGCCTTTGCAGGTCTATGTACCCGCGTCTGGTGTTTGCTTCACTTGCTCGTAATGTTCATGGGCCTGGCTTTTACTTTGAAACCTCACACAGGCCAATACTAAAAGTCACCGCCATGTATACGCAGGAGTCACTTAATAATTAATTCCCCTTTGCCGACACTTCATCAAAAGTCATGATATACCCATGCAAGCATGCATGATTTAAGAGTGGCCCCTTGTTCGGTAAATATGCGAATTATTGGCTCGTCTACCTAATAGGCTGATTTGTGTCCTCCCCCGCGAGGGAGAGGGCGCTGGGCCGTATGAGGAGGGGTTGAGGCTAAGTGATAGATTTAGTGAAAGACGCGTTCGCGTTGGCCTGATTCGTACTTCCCCACGTTTGTGGCTACTACCAGTGACCATCCTAGCTCCGGATGCAGGCCGTGTCTAGGGTCTTCCTTTCGAAGTGCTCGGCAGGAATGTGTCTGTGAGGTTTAGGGTTTTTACTGCTTTCCGGCCATGGCAGGGGACTCGCATTGAGACCTTTTCGGACCGTCCCTGGTCTAAGCAACGCGCGGGCATAACAACCAGTCCGCACTGTAATATCGCTCGATAATTATGTAAGAAAATATGTCTATCCTGACATCGTTGCGGCCAGCTCGATGCGGGGTGGCGAGGGAGGTGCTGCCTAGGCAGCGGCGCCCACCCCCTATAGCACATCGCCCCAGCCTCGCAAGGCGCCCCAATACCGGGAGTGTCCACGCAACCCAACGCAGCTTCCTGTGCCGCAGCAGCATCAACACGACCGCATTAGCACATCTTCCTGGCAGGTTCCCATGGCCCCATTAGTCTTCCAGTGGCAATCCTGTAAACAAGGTATTACGGGGAAATATCTTCCTCAGTCATGAGGTCAGAGGTGGAGGACAAATCCCCAACGCGCAACGGTCTTGGGTTCAAATGGTGGCCATGTGCGCGATGCCAAACCAGGTTAACAAGACAGCTCTTGAAGCCAGCCAGCCCAGACGCTCCTTTTTCTTATCACTCATCGTCATCTTCATCGCCGAACAAGTCTCGGTGAAGGTTCTGCGGGTTAGATTCCCCGTCCGCTCCCCGCTCCGACCCCTTCCCGCCTGCCCCATCGCCGCCCTCCTCATCCTCGTCCTCTTCCAGCGCTGCTGCGCCGCGCCTGCTGCGCTTCCCGCGTTCGCTCCCGATCTCCATGACTTCGCCCTCGCCAACGTCCTGCAGCTCCTCCTCCTCCTCGTGGCCCTCCGCCTCGCCAACCCCTGCAGCTCCCTCACCACCCTGCGGGCACGAAGACAACGTATGATGAACTGCTGCGTGCGTACTTCTTGGCAACTTTTTACTAACAAATATGACCGGAGTGCAAGTACTGTACGACCGCGCTGCTGAGGTTAGAGTGCATACATGTCGTGCGCATACGCGTGAGAGCTGTGCTGCATGTAGTGACCCGGATAGGGCCCTAGAGATTTGGACGCCGCCATGGGTGCCAAACCATGGGTGAAATGCCATTTTATATACTTAACGACACCTCTGTGCCCTTGGTACAGATCTCTCCAAGGTGGCCCCAAAAGGGCCCCTTTCGTGCAGTCACGGTGCAGTCACGGTGTGGTGCGGTGGCTTAAAGTAAGAGGATGCGCAGCTGCCAGCACCCACCAGTGCAGTTGGGCCAGGTTGCAACCCGCAGGTAATGTCACCTTTCTCATCCCATACCTACTCGCCCACGCCGGACCTACCGGCTCGTCCTCGATATCCTCCAGCCCGGCCGCTGCGTCTGCCCCACCAGCATCCTCATCGGCCGCCGCTGCCGCCGCGGCCCGCAGGCGCTGCCGGCGGCGCTTACTCCCTGAGCGGCCGCCGCCGCCGCCATCGCCGTCGTCGCCATCGTCGCTCGGCAGCCCGGCGGCACGCTGCACGGGTTCAGGGAAAGCGTCCAGCAAGATATGTCCAGGAAGCGCAGTACAGTGACCCCGGGGGGTCAACCAAGGTGGCAGTCACGGGACAGCGTACCATTACTACTTCCTTTTGAGGATGCAAAGGAAGCGGCTTTCGGAGGCGCCAGGATATTTACAGCAGTAGGAAAGTAGGAACGGACCGAAACAGAAGGGAACGAGAGTCTTCAACAGTACAACGAAAGCATACATGCAGAAGGAAAAGCGTTTGTGCGGGGACGGAAAAGCTGCCATATGGCCCATCACCGCATTCGCGCACCACACATGAAGGCTAGGTACCCCTCTTCCCTCACCCTTCGAGCCAAGTATGCCAGTATACGTTACCGTGACTATATTGCCCGCATCCGTAATTCCCGTACCCGTGCTCCTACCCGCGCCTCGTCATAGTCTGGCTCCTCCTCCCCTGGCTCGGTGCCCACCACCGCCTCCTCTTCCTCATCCCCGAACGCGTCGTCCCTGCCGCCTTTGCCGCCACTGCGGCCGCCCTTGTCTTCGAGGCGATGGAAGGCCAGAGAAGGGTAGTAGGAAGGAAAGGCGGAGAGCAAGGCGTATGAGAGGGAAGTAGGAAATGAGCCACGGCATGCAAACAGGAAACGGATCAAACGATCAAGAGGCACCCAGGCCTCGAGCCTTCCGCCGCCTTAGGCATAGCGCGCCGCAACCACCAAACCTTTAGATGTGGCTGTGACCCAAAAGTCTTCCTGGCGCTGCAGAAAACACACATCACCAAGGACGCGGACACCACTCAGCGCATCTCTTTCCGCTCCTACCATCAACAAAACCATCCACAACCTCCCAAGCAGGTCAGGCCACCTCAGCCAGCAGCATGCAGCCGACACCTACACACACCCACACCGCATTTTTTTTCAAAATTCCGCCACCTTCCCTGAACCAGTCGCAGAGCTAGCTCCAACCTCACTGAACCCGAGTCCGGATGTTGGCAACTACGCGCACACATGGATTTGCATCCGATCCACATCCCGAAATTGAATATCCCAAGAAATGCTGAAGGACTCACCCTTGCGCTTCTTGCCCGAGCCGCCCTCTCCGCGCCGACGTTTGCGAGCCGCCTCTCGGCCACCTGCCCCGTCGCCCTCCATATCCGCCATCAGCTCCGCCTGCTGCCGCCACTCAGCCTTCCGCATCTCCAGCCTTTGGGATCGGGGGCCGGGGATCGGGGATATTGGACGACAAAAAGGGCATGAATAAATACATGTCAGGGCGGATCAAGTGCGCAAAATGAAAAAACGCAACTGCCCAAGTCAAAATCAAGAGTTGGGAAGGAAAAGGCGAAAGCATACCCAGGTAAGACATGGAGACCGGGCACTACAGGACACTATAGGTACGCCAGGAAAGGGGGAAAGGCGCCCGAATAACATACAAGTTGCAATCCACAATGTCGTGTGGCCCTAGCTAATTGCAAACCCCCGGCGGTGATTGTTCCCGCGCTGCGGTCTGGTCGTGTATCCTGGCGTATAAGCAGCTCGTCCCTCCTGAACTCACCGCTGCTCTGAGCCCCTCTCACCCCCCCCACACACACGCACACCGCCCCCCCAATCCTTCCTCTCCTTTCCAACTCTCATTCCTCCACCCAGGCCGACCCGCGGGCCTTACTTCTCCTGCGCGGCACGTGCCATGGCGTCCCGCCGCCTCCTCGCCTCCTCCTCCTCCGCCTGCTTCCGCAGCTCCTCCGCCTGTCGCTCCGCCTCCGCGGCCTCGCGCATCTTGATTTGTTCGTGGCGCCGCAGCCTCGCCTCGTAGTCCTCCTTGGCAGCCGCCTCCAACAGGTCCGGAGTCTCAAAGGGGGAAAGGAGATTGCGAAAATGGGGGGGGGGGGGGGGAAACAAAATTTTATTGTTTTGAACACCAATGTACAACGGGGGGGGGACTGGGGGCTGGGGCTGGGGCTGGGGCTGGGGCTGGGGCTGGGGCGGGGGCGGGGGACGGGGGCGGGGCAAGCACTACAAACAGGACGTCGCCGGAGCGTGAATATGGTGGTAGCGACAGCGGCGGTGGTCTACGTAGTGCTGTGCTGTTAGGATACTGGTTTTAGAAATCCTCAGAAGTTATGACCCAATAGCCTTATATTTCTCTGCGGCAAAGGAGGAAGAATGAAAAACACCCCACACCGCATCCTCAACCTCAATCTCCAATTCAACCACAGCCATTCGCATGCGCATTTGCACAGAGCAATAGCAACAGCAGCAGCAGCAGCAGCAATATAGCCGCAGCAGTCACCAAGTCGCATGCACGGCGCTCCCGCGCAGACATCCACACCTTTCGCAACTGCGCCGCGCAGAAGCTGACATGCGCCGTGAGCTTGACCTCATCCAGCCCGCTCCGCTCCCTGCCCAGCACCTTGAGGTGCTCGTAGTGGCGGTGAGCCTCCTTGAGGAGCAGCTCCGCCCGCTGCAGGTCGGGTAGCTTGGTGGGGTCTCCGGGGGGGCGCTCCTTGCGGAAGCTGCGGACAGCCCACTCCTGCGTGAGGGTGGTGGTGGGGGTGCGGGCGGGGATTTGGTAGGTGCGTGGGAGTACTTGAGGAGCTTAGCCGGGTGGTTGGGTGGTTGGGTGGGTGGGTGGGGGGAAATCACACGGGGCGGGCGAGACGGGGTTGACGTGTGTCGAGCGGGAGCTATCTGTAAAAGCCGAAGTTTGTTAAGCTGGTGGAAGGACCGCTCTGATCTGAATCGTACATCCGAATGTCGGACAGCAGGAGGAGGAGGAGGGGGAGGAGGAGGGGGAGGAGGTGGGGGAGGAGGAGGGGGAGGAGGGTAGAGGTACGATCCGAGCGAGGTCGCAGCAGCCGGGCGGCCGCAAAGTGTAAAGGTGAGCTCCCATGTCAACCACCTACCAACAAAAACCCCATACACCCCAAGACTTCCACACCGCGCACCTTAACCGCCTCCCCACCACCTAGCCAGCCGAACCTCGCCCCCGCCCCGCCCCGCCCCGCTCCGCCTCTGTGCACCTACCTGCATGGTCAGCGCATAATTAAATCTGAGCTTGTAGTCGGTGGGCGCCAGGTGGATGGCTCGCTTGAGACAAGACTGAGCCTCGTTCAGCTTGTTGCTGTCGTACAAGGCACGTGCCAGGTACAGCAGCACCTAACAGCGGTGAGGTAAAAGAGGGCCAGGTAAGGGAGGTCTTATTTGAAGCAGTCCAGGTGCTGTGGGGGAACCGAATCGCGAAGTCAGGTCAGCACGAGAGAGAGGCGCACTTTACGGGTATATATGATTCAGGTGTGTGGCTGAACGTGTGCGGTCAGGTCGGGACGTGTGTGCGCACACGGCACAACACAGCAGCTGGGCCCTAGGATCAAACACCTCAACAACCCCTACGCCCAACGGAACTCTCCACTCCGATTGTCGATTAAAGGACTCCCCGCAAAAATAAGGCAAGCAACCGCCCCACGGCGGGCCCAGGAGGTTTGCTGGTTGGCTGGCTGCTCTCCGCGGCGCACCGGGGGGCGAGGGGCGCAGCAGGGCAGGGCCGCATACCGCCACCACCAACACCGCTGCCACTCCCCACGGCCGGGCAAACACCGTGTGGTGGAGTTCCCCGGTAATTCCCCTGTAGGTAGGCCGGCAGGGAGCAGCAAGCTCCCACTGCCTCCAACCACCTACCATTAAAAAGACAGTGCTGCCCCAATGATCCACGTAGGACCGGGTCCACACATCGCCGTGCACGTAACAATACACAAACAGCATATAAATACAGGAAACACACTGCAGACCCCCCCCGTCCACCTGCGGATGGTGCTTGTGCTCCAGCTTATCCAGTGCCGTACGGTACAGATGTACGGCATCCTGGTAGTCGCATCTTGCCAGGTGCACGTTCGCCAGGTTGATGAGCACATCAGGGATGGTGAGGAAGCCATCCGACAGAGCCATGGACGCGTACACCTCGGAGAAGATAGACTGTGAGAGATGGAGCGCGGGAATGTTTGCCGCGAGTGAAGGAGTGTTGAGGTTGGGGAGTGGAGGTGGGGGGCGCCGTGGTCGGTGTGCGGGAGGAAGTCAATTGTGCAATTGTGTCGATGGGTGTGTGTGCGGGTGGCAGAGATAGGGAAGGTGACTGGTGAGGAGGTCCGGGTTCTTTTAGGCCATTCTTGCGAGCCAAGTTCGTTTCTCTCGTCGTTACTCTTCTATAATATATAGTGCTTGTTGCCCGCACCCGTAGTAGTTTGTT